GGGTTAATCCGAACTGGCAACCCTATTCTCTGGTGGCAGATAATTTCTTCCTTAAATTCTCAATTTCAGCTGATCACATTACACCAAATACTGTACAAACTGTTCCTGCCATTGTCTTTTTAAATGTATAAAGTTGTTTTTCATTATATTTCTGTTGGTCAATGTTACAATTAGATGGCCATCATGGTCCCAAGTATGATAATACATTTCTGATGCAAATATGCGATACAGGCCAAATGTGTCTCTTGCTTTGAATGATCTCTGGCCATGGTTGCCTGCCTTTATGAATTGACCTCGACACATTTTCAACAAAAGTGATATTTTCCTTGTTTTATATACTGTTTGTTATCTTAATTAATTCTATCGTGTCCCCTCATCAATAAGTCACGTTGATGTAGTTATTCACTTATAGGTTATTTTTCAGGTTAGCTGGCATGCAGTTGCTGAATGGAGAACTCCTAACCTTCCTCTATAAGCTGTTTAGAAGAGTGAGTGGCGAATAATGTTTTAAGAAAATTAAACACATGAGATTGTTAAGATAGAACCATTGTAGCTCACCAGCCCATAGTGGTTTGTAATGAGAGCATTCCTGGACCAAGTGGTCGCCATGTTGTATATGGTACAGGGACTGTGGTGGCCGAGTAGTCACATGTAAGGCGTTCGACCTTCTATGGCGACGTATGGCTGTCTATAGGATGTAAAACAAAAACATGCAATTTTTTAGAGACAGATGGACAATGACTTTAGGGTTTGATTTTGGTTTGGTTTTGTATGGTTTAACAGGTTTACTTTAATTTGTTTTAAAGGGTCCCTGAACCAAAGTGACCCTATTCTCTTTTTTGGAGGGGGAGAGGGGGAGACTAAATGTAGGAATTAGAAGGTAATTTCGTCTAGTTTCATTTGAAATGTGCCTTGAAAATGATTGCCATTCCAGAGGCAGGGCCCATGAGGGGGAATAAGTGTCAATTTTAAAAGGCTACACTTCAGTTCAAGTAAACGGATTTAACCTATAAAAATACTTGATTGATTCCTTGATCAAATTATCATCAACCATTTTCTGTTTCGCCAATGCCCCCAAGATCTTATTTGAAGGCTGCAGAGGTTAAAAAACAAAAAGTCAGCGATTTTCAAAAAACTGTTACAGGACTATCAAAGCATTAATTTTTCTCCTGCAAGAAAATGGCTATACATTTGTTAATCAATACATAAGGAAAAAGTATGCACGTCGCACAGACTGAAGACAGGACATTAAAATATTGTACATGTAACAAATTTGATAAAATCATAGATACATTGAAGTTATGCATTTTGAAAACTGCTGATAAGTAATGGTTTAGTTTCATAATGCTGACAAGTTAATGAAAGATATGTTTATCACACAGAAATGTTGTGATAAATTAGTGCCGAGATTACTTGTGTAAATATTTGCTTATTCATGAAAAACTTTGTTTCTACCATCTATTATTAAATTTATATTTCGAATTGTTCATATCTAACGACTCAAGTGCGACTTAATGCAGAACACGTTTAAATGACATTTAGACAGAATTAGGCTATATACATGTGACATTATTCTTAATTGTAATTACTGTATATCCTTTGTGACATTTGAGATAAGACTCATGTGTGAAGTTTGTATATCCCAAAGTACGTACTCTCTGTTAACTTACTTCATAACTCATTACTATTGTCCATCACATTACGCAACAGGATTAGTGTAATAGCCTTTCCTTGTGGACACGAGTAATTGATCTAACAATTAGCGACACCTGTCACTTACACATCAGGTACATTTTTACCTTTATTGTACGTACATGTATTTAACTGTGATATGTTGTATTGTAAATAATAAAACTAGTTAGGGTCTAGACTCTGTACGGAACACTTCGGGTGTATTTTGGACACTCCAGAATTTCCCGCCGTCAAGTTAAAAGTTATATATTATCTCTCATAAGTTATATATTATCTCTCATTAAATTTTAAAGTTAAACTTTTATCAACTCTTACGTCATCATTTCAACAAGACAAAGCGTGCAGAAAAACCTAATGATATGTTACTGTACCCGATTTTCGATCACTTCAACTTCGTCAGTCGGGTGGTGCAGCAAATGGATAGTGCACTTGCCTTTTACGAAAACTGCTGGGGGTTGACTCCCGGATTTAACGTGAAAGGGTATTAGGTCATCTGCCCGACCACGTGAGTGTTCCCCTGATACTCTTGTTTCCTCCGACATTAAGACCCCCAGTCAAACAACTCCCACCAGAGTGGTTAATATTAGCTGGAAACACTTGCTATATAAGTGTTCTTATTATTGTAAAGTTAATAAAGTTCATATATTTATGTTAAATCTTTGAGCAGTTTATAATGTTTACCTTTATTGATTTAGGCTCCCGAGTTTTTCTATCGATGCCTGGAAAAACGGCTTGGCTTGAAGTCTCTCGAAGATTTAATGAGATTCACGGATGCACTGGAGAAGCTGAGTGATGAACAACCAGAAATAAACCAACTTCTGCTGTGATTTAAAGATAAAACACATGACACAATCCAAATAATCGTGTAAGAGAAAACATATCAACCAACTTCTGCTGTAGAGTCATGAACCAAAACATAAAAACCTACTGCTTTGTGGTGTGTGTGACAGAGTTGAATAACCAGACATTACCAGCTCTAGCTGTGTTAGTGAAAAACAACAAGTTATGTATATAATTTTTCACTTTCAATGCGATATTTCAAAAGGGATTCTTGTAAGACGTAAAATGTGCTTTTTGCAAATATCTTTATTTTAACCTAGGAAAATTTCCCCCTTTAATTATTATAATTTGTGTTGTATGGTGTTGGTAAAAAAAATGTCAGCTTTCTTTTCAATAAATCTTATTTTACTTAACCCGAACAAAGATGCAGCGATAAATGTAAGTTAAGAAAGAGACGTGATACTAATAATGGTAGTTATTTATGAAGCATAATACAACTAGCCTTTAAACAAATAGGAATGGACCAAGTATACATATTTTAGCATACACATTTTTTAAGTATACAATTGTGCATGTATACAAATGGACATTTATACTAACGAACAAAAATATCGATTAAATTCAACTAAGCTGAAAACAATAACTAAAACTCCAAACACAAGAACATAATCAGCTGGTCAATACCTGAATGTAATCTCTGATCGTGTACAAATGTACTAGTGAATGCTGTCATCCCAATTTGTTCTATACTTACAAATATTGCTTGAATATTAGATCACGCTTAAATTCGTACATTTTCTACAATTGTTGTATTACCATTGAGACAAGGTTCACCAATGATTTGAAGGTCAGTGCCAATTACGTTCATAACAGATTTTAATGTCAATTATATTCTACATAAATATGTAGCGACAATGCCAAATGTTGTCAAACAAGGCGTATGACTCTCTGTCGTGCGTTAATCTGTATATCATATCACCGATGTGTGTAAACTGTACATAATTGTTATTGTTTGTACATGAACATTCTATTTTTCTTAGTTGTTTTTCAAAACTAATATGATGTTTAAATGTGATATAATTTTTCCAGTTTTCCAATATTTGACATTTATATTTATCAATTATTAGTGCTATAACAATTATGATGAAATCCCGGTGTAAACAATTAAGTTGATGTATTTCACACCTTTTATTGACATATTAGTACAGTATTAGTCAGATCCGAATAATCACAACGATCAATATACTCGACTTGACGGTAGTACTGTAAAATCATAAATTTTCGTGGGAGTTTAAATTTCGTTTATTTCGTGGATAACAAAAATCCACGAAATGTAATCCCCACAAAAACAAAAATTTGGTATGATATAGATAGGGGAAAATCAGAAATCGGCGAAATATAAAGTCCTTGAAACAGGCTTGTATAAGAAAACCCACGAAATTTTAACCCCACGGAAATAAATGATTCTACAGTATACTGTGCCAAATACATGTCAAAACATCAGGCCATACATGTATAATTTCAGCTTTAACATAATTTTACAGTTTTTACATTTTTTTATTAATTGAGTAACATCGTAATAAATGACTATTGATACTTATGAAATCAATCGTGTAGAAACCTGGTAGCTTGTTTCGTGTATTTACAACATGTATTGACAAGCATGTAAAATGTTGGTCAAATAGAATCAATTAAAAATGCATACCTTTTGATTATCGTCTCTACAGATCAGCATATTTGGCACTTGAATATTTAATTCTAGTTGTTTTTGAACAATACATTCCTTATTGTTACAGTTTGAGACTATTTTTACAGTTGTACACTTGTTAAGATACTAGAGGTAGTGTGTATATGTAAACACATTTTATAAAAGATTACCTGTAATTTGTATGTGTAGATGAATCTTGCTAGTGTCATCAGGTGTTGTTTTAAATTAATGTCAATCAAGCGAGTGTAGAACATGTTACATTAATGTTATCAAGAGCACACCTGTATATTCGGAGGTGTTAGAGAGTAGTTTCGCTACTTATTAATTCTTTCAGCCTGACGGTCATGCATGACATCGCTAAGTACAGTTACATGTAATTCTTATGCAAGTTCTTGTCCTTTTAAGTAAGCTACTAGCTATATATTAATCACACTAGTCTTATGGTCCGCGGTGTGTTAGATAATCTAACAGTTTTGTAAACTTTGATACAAGTTGTCCATCATTTAAAAGTGAGGTTATAATAAATCGTCACGTGATAAGATAATGCGTGTAGGCATATTAGAAAAGGGAAAATATAAGGAATAATTTCTAAGACGTACGTTAAAGACAATGCATGGGTTGACAAGGTTTCATGATTGAACTATTTGTTTCAATTTAGATTGATCAAAATTGAGTGACTCTGGTCTATTAGAACAGTTGGTTGAATTTTCTGTCGTTTACTTTCATTTGTGGCAATTGTTTTTGTCGTTTCGATAGGACCATGAAAATGATAACATCGAAACATTAACGATTTCACCGACACCACCTCAGGCATATTAACAGACGAAGGCTATTTCTACCTGATAATACATACAATATCTAGTGAAACCCCCGTCCAAGTTTCATGCTATATGGGTTGTGTTGGAATTGATACATGGTGTTGTTAAAATTATTCTTATTAGAAAGTACTATGTAATATGGCATAAAACATGATAAATAAAGATGACTAAGGGTTATGCCGTTTGTGTATCTACAGACACCGCTAATCAATGAAGTGATATTTTCATAACTTTACTACTCCGTGTATCAAATGAATCTCATTATTATACTGTGATATATAATACGAGTTTTAAATAGTGTTAATATCTCACTTGTGCCATAAGCATATGACAATGTTTACTTTTTACGTGCCATATTCTTCAAATAATTAATTGACCTAATTTTTTTATTTCAAATTTTACGTGTGTCAATTTGATAATACTCAATGCTTTTTCTAATCAAAGTGCCATTTTAGAGAGTAATTCAGTGATTTTACAACTTGTAGAAAATTTTGTATTTCTATAATCTCAGCGCTGATGTATTTTTTTGTGTGAGGTTAAGTAATCTCGAAATTTACATTTATTATATATTCTTTATTTACATTTTTATATCGTGTAGTAATTTGAACGCTTGGTACTATACTTAGTATCGAGGTTTCATTATTGGAAAGTATTATATATGATTGATTTTAAACAGTTACAGCATTACATCTGTACATATATATGTACGTACTCTGGTCTGCGTAAGCTAATAATATATGCAATGTATATGTGTAGCGTTAGACATGTCATACCCTGTTCGACTGTTGACGAACAAATAATGATATGTCAAACTAGACCCAGATAGAAAACGTGTTCTTTTTTACATAACGTTTTCAACTTGATGACATTAACTTTACTCGAAAGGCTCAAGTACACTACAACAAGGTAAGTTAAACCACCTATCTATTTGATAATCAGTGTGTGAACATAAGCATGTTCAGACTGGGTGTACATTTGTAGACATTTTTCATGGTTTTGTTACCTTTTGTTAATCTTGGATGTGCTTATAGGGAAGGCAAAGCTCATGTGAGCTACGGCATGATAACTGTTGTAGAAAAACACTTCGAGAGAGACATTAGAAATAACACATAACAATGAAATTTTAAACCTACTTTCAAATGTTCTATAGATCTATGTTAATTCACCATTTCCTCTATGAAACCTCTGCTTTCCGTCCGTTCTCGGTCATTTTTTCAATATTTTGACTTATTTAATAGTCCGCAGACAAAAGTTACCAGTATGATTAGGTAATTAAAACCAGTCCAAGTGGTTGATCCAAGGATTGCAGCCCGTCAACGGAATGAAGATATCAAATACTCAACCTGTAGAATTAAGTCTTCTTCACAGTCAAGATATATACTGCACGAATTTCCTTAACAAACTGACTTACTGGATTTTAAGTATCACTTTCTTAACACAAGGCCTTATATATATATAGTGTTCCTAAGATTTCTAAGTTGGACTTTAAACCTTATAGAAATGTCAAATATATGATTGTGCGATACAGGACTGATGTGTCTCTTTTTATATCTCAATACGAAAGTTTTCAGCCCCACATAATTAAATTATGATGACCTGTGATGGCGTGCTTTTGTTGTTATACATGTCTTTGTGTAGCTGACCTGTAATCCAATTCTTTGCTGACTATATACCCTACGACCATATAGTCGTACGGGGTGTTGGTGACAATATTATTCTCCATGTTGACATTGATGATACATTGTGGAGAAAACTTCTTGATGCTGGTGTAAATGCTAAATGGTTTTTTAAGAATGCTACATGTTTCTCTACTAATACTGATGCAAATGCTTTTTTTAGTATGCTATATTATTCATGAGTTGTGATTGTTATGTATTTGTAAAATACTCATTAAAGCATCTGCCATATAACACATTGTGTTAACATGTAGTATGTCAGCTATAGATAATCGTCGTGCGAAGAACAGGGCCCGTATTCACGAAACCGTTCTCTGCTCAAGCCAACTTCCTTGAAACTCTCTTAATCCATGTAACGCGGTCAACAGGCCAATTAAGTGCATATTGAAAACAGTATTTGAATTTCATTCTCTCCAAACTCCTCCATATAAATGACCAAATGTGACTGTTTTGTATCAAGTTATCAGGGACACAAAAAAGGTATATTGGGCTTGAACATAGAATGTGAATTTGAGCATGAAAAATAGAACCTTACATGGGTCTGTTCCGTGGACAGGGATATTTCAACCATAGTGTAAAAATTTGGCTGGTCAGCACGCTGTCCAGACAAACTCTTACACGAGGGTTTATATTAATAGAATACCTCACCCCCTTATGGGTGAGATAGGGGAATCTCAGTCCGAGGGGGAAGATTCTTAAGTTGCCAAACACGAGGCTTTGCCCTCGGGTTGAGATTCCCCTATCTCATCCTCAAGGGGGTGAATGATTCTTTTTCTCACACCCTGTTCAATCATTGTGTATCATAAACATAATGTAATGTTAACGTTACAGGCTAAGCCTCGGGTCTCCTGCTCAATATTTTATCTCTTGGGTTTGAATTACCTTATCCATACCTCACATCAGGGATGGATTCTATTAATCGCACACCGGTAAAAGTGTTGATACACCTGTCCAGATATCTCACACCTGTAGAAGTGGCGGATACACCTGTACCTTTATTCTCTTCCACTAGCTATTAAGAGGAATTCCAACCTCAAACAACTAAAACCATAGTACAATCCTCTGGTAATAATTGAATACGCTAAACATGTTGTAAACATTAAAGCTCAGAAAAGTGCGATAATGTTAATAACATTTCTAGCTTTTATTATAACAACATTAAATGTTAAGAAAGGACACTTGATATGAAGTTCAAGGTCATAGGTCTATGGTTTTACACATTCAGAATGTACCAGTAAAATCTATCACTCTGACGTTTTACTCTGATTTTTGTACATCCCCTTAGCAACAATCATCTACATTTGAGGCTAGTATGCCTTTCCACACCTAGTTAACAGTTCATAGGAAAGCACGGTAGTCTAGTTGTACTTGTTGGACGCCGGGCTCGTGACCGAAGGGTTGCGGGTTCGAGTCACGGCACGGCACTGTGTTGTATCTTCGAGCGGGATACTTTACTCCGCTTGTTCCAGTCTACTCAGCTGTAACTGTGTACGTGGTTGGGCAGTGCTAGAATTGTTGAATGCTAGCTGTGAGCGCCAAATGGCAGCACCGGTTGTATGCTCCCCAGGGAGTTGAGAAAGATATTGGCTGGTTGCGAAGGCCCTATAGCCACGGATAATAATTTGTGAACCGATTTTGAGACGACCTACGAAGTAGGTTGTGATAAAGGGGTATACAAGAACCTCGGATTATTATTATTAATTAAAGAGAAAATAAGCCCCGCATGACGTAAGTATATAAATAAACTTTACATAATATGTCATTCTATAGAACACATTTAGGTCGCTAAAGAGATTGACATGTTATAAGTCCGGTGAGCTATTTAGCCCTTATGCTTTTGTGCCCTTTAATTAAATAGCTTATGTACACGTGCAATATATTTAAATTGCATATATATATATTCAGATTTTTAATAAGGGTCTTTGAATATGACCTACCAGGGGGTTGAAATTTAGGATAACTATTACATCTATTAGGGGGTTTGTTTAACCTTTAAGACCTTAGCTTGGGCGCCCGAGATCTACACGCTGAACATCACCAGCTTTTGGGTTCACAGTACTACTGTAGTACTGACCTCTTTTACATGTCAGATTTGTGTTTTTCTTGGATGTATCACCAAGCTTATTAAGAAGATGTTTTATTATATCGAATTTGGTTTCCTGGGACGGTTCGGCGAAATCGAAAAGTAGGGTGGGTGATCAGTATTGTGATACGTCATGTATCAGTTAAATATTTCGTCCACCATCTGAACGGAAAAGTTTAAAGTGGAACAATCAATGTCTTCAGTAGATATATATCGACTGCGACAACCCCCCGTAGCTTCTTTTACATTACCCTCTACGGTGTTGACTGTCGAGATAAGATTGTACCTAATATATTAGTTGCATAATTATGCAAATTAACCTATGTCCAGTATTTATATGTACGACCAGCGGCTATCTAATTCAATGACACACATAGGTACAATGAAAGTATACCTACAAGGCCATTCTTGTGAGAGATCTAGTCCATATGCTTCAGGTAACACACACTATATATAGCAAGGCCACGCTTCACTGACGCAGTTGTGGAGTTCCTTATTTAAATACATGTGATTCACTGTCGAATTCCTCCATCGGATAAATGAATTGTGTATCACCTGAAATCGTCTTTACTACCGCTTGACATGCATGTGCGCACAGTGTCCCAGAAGACCGCGGCTTGAAAATGAAAAACCAGTGCTATACATAAAAGTAGAATGGGATTAACCTTGACGGTTGTGTGACACAATTAGACATGGATAAAACGCGGAAACTCAGTACGGTTGTGTTCTATCAGCCGGATGAAGAATCGGTACTCAGCCGGCCGGGGGAGGGTCCGGAGCCAACCCCAGAGGAAGTGACGTCAGCAACTGCAGCCTTCCGAAAAATCAGCAGTAGTCAGAAAAGACCCTCACTGTCAATTATCCGGAAAAATACCGAGTCGGAAGGTAATTGTCGTGTAAAATACTTGTGATGTCATTTTATATTTCAAAACTGTTGTATAATTTTGGTTAAAAGTTTGGTACGTGCATTGCACAAAAATTATGATAACGTTGTTGCATGCATAAATTCAATTTTTTAACATTTATGCAATTTCACGTTTATACTATACAAATTAAGACATACGAAGTGCATATATTGTTGCATTAATTGTCAAAGTAAAGCGCCATGTAGTAGTGTACTAGATATCCAAGATTACGCCTCGTTTTTCAGCTGATAGGTTATTATATTTCATTGATGAAAATAATCATCACTTTGTCATCACTAACATGCAACATGCACATACAATGATAGTTGTTTGTAGCATTTCAACCTTCCTGTCCGGCAAATATTTCAATATCTACTCAAGTTGGACTCAATGCAACTAACAAATGTAACCTGTTTCATTTGCCGATGAATTTGACCAGATTAACATTGCCTGTGCGTATGATTTTGCGAAGGGAGATAATTATTATACATGTTTATACAAAGATACATGTACCACTTGAGATTTGACATTTTTATTGAAGCAACACAAGAGATTGTTCAAACAACCAAAAAACGAAAAATCAACAAAATATTATCAGCTCACGGTTACTAGCGGTAGTGACAAGTCTTGTACTGCCCTAAAAATTCTCGTTCCAGCTACCCATTCTGCCTTGTGTAAGTAGGCAACCCCCGGTACAAACCGAACACGTAGATTCACAGGGGTTCGTTATAAATGTCTGAAACACACATATCATGCTATAACTGATATGGGTCACAACACACATAAAAAATCATATAAATGTATGTTTATGTGTGCTGTGACCAATATCAGTATATCATATGTGTATAAATGTAAGTTTATGTGTAATGTGACACACATCAATATATCATATGTGTATTTCAGACATTCGTAACGAACTCCTGTGGTAGATCTATGTGGTCCCTTCTTATATGAAATACAGTCGAACAGCCAAATGTGATATTAGATGTTTCGTCCTTTCAAGCCGCGTCTGGTTTCCTGTGTAATTCGACATTCAATAACTGCAGCTTCACATTCCAGAAGATGTAGAACCTCGAAATTAAGCGGCTCTCCACTTCGCAGTTCATTAAATTTGTTTCTAGACCAACTCAATTCATCACCCCATGAAATCGACCAAAGCAAGATTCAATCCTTAAATAAACCGTTTAGCGCTGCTACTACACACGTTCATGGTTCGACGTCACATACATGTAATACCCGGGTGTTTCGGTGGTTGATTGACCTTTCGTGCCCTTGTCATGCTTAAAATGTCATGCTTAAAATCCTCAGGCACTTTGTCCCAGACCCAAAATACGGGGCTTCACCCTTGTATCTTAGCTTCAGATTGCCCCCCTAATACATTGGCCGAGATAACGGACGTCTTACATGTGTCATGATGTAATGGAACGAGCTTCAGAAGCAATTTGTATGAAAGGACATATGATACATGCATATTGAAAACGTGACGGTGAAATTAAACTGCTGGTTTTGCGGTTTATTGTAGGTTGATCTAAATGTGTAGGCTTTCACGTGTTTTGTGATGTCATATAATGTTATTGCGTAATGTAAAATTCTACTTGAACCCCACCTGGTGGTATGTGAACACTATCATAAAGGAGCATTTTCATAAGCTAGATCCATACGACACAACGTAATTGAAGCACAATGCGACACGAGCTTGACTCATGATAGCATTATGAGAATATATACATGTACACTTAGTAAAATACCGGGTGTACATTGACACTGTAGTTCGTGCCATCCGATACTTATATTTTTAGGTCGAGTATTCATTAAATTGCCAGGTGGATATTTCCCTATAATAAAGTTGTGACCTGATATGTTAATATGCATATGGCGTTAATGTTTATGGGCACGAATCAAGTAACACTGAGGTAAAATCCTTGGCACGTATAGTCAACGATCGTCATGGTACAGTACATAATATACCTTAGTTCAACTCCTACATCAGCAGACAAGGCGTGGTATTTCAGTGAGATAGCACTATAAAGCCGACATCAGATTCGCGCTTTCACAAGGAGGCAATTCCACTAACATACCAAGCCTTCAGCACACATACACACGTGCATGCATGCATACACAATACACATGGAGGCACGCCTTAAATTACCTTAGCTGCTGATACATGTCTGTTCTGTAGGTCGTCAAACCCTATACAACCAACAATATCAACTAAGTTGTCGGTAAATAACAACGTTCCTTTATACTATTGTCTACAAGACAATCTGTTGTGATTTGGTAAAATTATAGAGATTATCCTACTATTGACTGTTCATTATCACATATATTCGAGCGCAAGGTCAATCGTAGCTGATCCTGAAGTTTCTGGCTATGCGAGAAATATAAACAAGCATGCATGTATTAACTTGTATATATCTCTGACTAGCATGTGACGTTGGTGAGTGGTGACTATTCAACATCTGTATGACGTCATACGGTCGTGTAATTTTAAGTTCTATTTGAAGATATTCATTTGAAGAAGACATGTATAACATACTGTTAATTACGACAGCCGTGAATCACATTAATGCATTAGAATTACAATTGAAGTATATATGCACATATCTGATGTTTAATCATAGGAACGACAAAATGTACTGTTGCATGGTTGTTATCAGGGTAATATAATTATTACAATCAATACATATATACATATTGTTCCCGGTCATACTTTCAATACTATCGGTCATAAATACATTGTATACACTGTATATAAGTAAATTGTCGGCGTAAGAAAGACACTTCCGTCTAGGCGTCACGTTGACACTGGAATGTGTGTCTCAATGTTCAAGTCCGTGTATGAACCACTGACATTCAAATACACTAAATTACGAAATAGAGTTATTTTAAATGAAAACCCTAGATATTTCTCACGAGAAACCTGTAACAATGTATCCCATGACGCGATAAGTGCGTCACTTCACAAAGAAATCATTTTTGTAAATTATATCGCATATCATTAACAAAAAGAATTCTGCATACTCCAAGACTGATTTTTGCATATTTGCACATCAAAAAGGTGGAAGATCAAATGATTATGTAATATCTGGTTCTTAGGTATGAATTACATGTATTATTTGCATATGCATAAAAATAAGTATTATGCACTTGCCGCGCAATACTGAAAATGCCTCACAAATGATATGTTTGCATCTGCAAACGTTATATTCTATAGCCATGAATTAAATATTGTATACCCAAAAATGTTTTTATATGCCCACTGTTATTTCTCTACATACCCAAAACACGACTTTTGTAACCCAAAAATATGAGTTTGTATAATACTTCTTATAATAAGCCCTGTTGTAGGCTTGTTTGTTTATATGTCTTTTCGATTAATTACTTGCAGATAGTGGAGTCAAGTCCGAGGACGATGGGAATTCCGCCACGCAGCCATGGCGAGCACGCTCCAACAGTCGATGGAGTCGGTTCTCTCGGAACGTCTCGTTTTCTTCCACCATCTCGCCGTTATGGGACTTTCCGTCTTTTGACGAGCTGTTCAATAGTGGTGGAAAAGCCACACTCGCCTTGCACAGGTCCCCTACCTCAATCAGTGACCTCATGCCGAGATCTCCTACAAGCACGTCGTCACTAGGTACGTTGCCATGGCATAAGGTGAAGTGCCTGGGCGGGAAGTACGCAAACCATATTCTCGCACCTCAGACATAGATATCCTACGTCATACCCCATGCTAGATTTTTCTATATCGTCCGATCTGTCTTGTATCTTTACGTGTCATTTCGCGGAATTTTTACACTGTGATGTATTCATCCGCGCGTTAACTGCTTGAAATTGACAATTTGCATTATAAATGTCCTGTTTTGTCTTTAAATGTATAGTTTTGACATTGTTGGATATTTGATTTTATAGAAAAAATATAATCTACACTGTGAAATACGTTGTAATCTATGTAAGGACGGACTACATTTTTACGCGGTAGCATTCAAACGTAGCGTTAGTAGTACTAGTGAAGAGCTCATTTTGAGGCCAAAGGCGGGATACTTGTAGTTTTTAGCAAAATTGAATAGTTCTTTTCGAACTTAAAGGTGCCAGAAAAAAATCAATTACCTGTAATTGAACGAGATCGGATTATCTCAGTCTCGGGCTAAGATTCTGTAACATCCCAACCTCGGCTTACGCCTCGGTTGGGATTTTGTTACAGAATCTAACCATCGACTGAGATAACCCGATCTCGCTCAGTTACAGGTAAACTATGTTATTAGTCTATTACTATGTAATAACAACAGATGCAGAAATCTATTTGTGACTGTTCACAGTAAGCATATATAAACTGTAATGTGTCGAGCGAATGTTGACAACTATTCAGGTACGCATACTTATTTTAACACTGAATAAGTATTGAATTATTGAATTAATATATTTGCAAAAAACGTCTGTCTTTTCTGTATATAACATACAGGTATGTGTATGGCTGTCTTCCTGAGGATTTGTTTTGACACATCATATTTCAATTTAATTGCTCTTGTATGTATATTTAATACAGAAATTATTAACAAATGCTCGTGTTTTATGGTAGAATATAAAGAGGGCGAAAAAGTGCTAGGAGGGCTGTTTCGTTATAGATTTCTATGTTTTATTTGCAATGTAAAAACCCTTATGGGGATTGTGTTTAGTCTACCACTATACAAGAACAATAAGAAAATATCATTTAATGTCCTTTCATGTCTACTTCAGTGCTTAAAAGGCTACGTAACCTAGATAACCGAACAGGTAAATTAGGCTGTTCTTTTGCACGTGCAACCTTTGGTCACGTGATGCCTCGTTTCCATTTCACCAGTAAGCTGAAGTCACAGCCTATGTCCTAGTTTCTGAACACTGCAGCCGATGGTTACATGTACATGTATGTGGGACTGTATGTGGAACGTTTAGATATTTACATGCACACTCGTATCTTCACTTAACAAAGCCAATTCGCCCAAAACAAGTCACAAACGTCTCACTTTTTTCACGGGGGAGGATGTTTGAAGAGCGTTGCGCGTGCATGTGTTCGAAAATGCATAGTTATTAAGCAATGACATGTGTCGTTATATTATTGATGTGGTTACCTAGATCTTAGCATTATTTACTATAGAGGTTTTTCAGTACTGGTTTGGATAATTTAAAAAAAAAAAATCGAATGCGTTCGTTATTTTTTTGACATAGAGTCGCGTGTCATTTACAAATGCATTACAGCAAAGAGATATATTCAAAAGAAGCAATTTACAAATGCAGAAAATAACTCCAATACAGGGATTCTAACAGACCTTTGAGTTATAAAGCAGGGAATAGATTCACTGCGTCATCTGTCATTGTATTTGTAAGATAAAACATACATGTTACATGGGATAATTTCAAAACGTTCTAATTCCATAAAAATAGGCCTAAATTGTATCTACATGTATAAGCCTAAAAGACCTATATAAAAGACCTTAATATGTATGTAGGCCTAAATAGCGTACAATTGTCTGTATAGAAAAAAATTACATAAATTAAACAAGAAATTAACTGTTTGATATCTGTTTACGGTACAAAGTGGTGGAAAATGTATATAGTACTGTAGATATGTTTTTATTGAACTAGTTTTTATTTTGTAGAAAAATTCGTGAAACCCATTCACAATCACTTCGAAACCCGCAAAACTACATAATTGATGTTCATGCGTGTCGTTAACTAACAGGTGATAATAACGAACCGTATATATGATATGTTTCTGTTTGAAAAGAAAACATCGCCCTGTTAAAAATTAAATGTAGATGTGGCGTCACGACTGACTGCACATTTAGGGTCAACCCTACGTAGTTAGTGGGAGTTTACAACAAAACATAAATTCGTCGTTTCCAGGGTGACTTCTTTTTCTGGAAGACGCAGCGCAAGACTGCACTACTGTTCACAGGTATTTACACTGGTGTTTGGTGGGTTTATGTCGACTGTATTACGTGGTAAGGGGACAAGGATGAAATAAGTAGAAAACACCAAGATGGAAGGATATGATGTACGACAGACGTAACCATCCATTGTAGTCAAAGGCAAGTTTTTGTGTATACGTATATATACATATATATGTACGTCAAACTAACCTATCACTCTTGTGTTTTACATACTTATTAAGGTACTTCCCAAGGTACAAATGAACTTGATAAATGATGGCATTTTCTCCTGTTAAGTGGTAATTAATTTCTTACAAATTCTTAATTTGATGTGTATATATATGTACACGTATCTCTGGTACGTGGATGCGTTGATAACACTATCTGTATCACAGCTACATAGTAAGACATTCACGAAGTTCAAATTCACGCCCCGCTGCCTGCTCGTTTTTGGACCTGTCTGTAACGTACAGGTAAACAACTACACGTATAATACTATAGATACTATAGTCCGAACAGTGTTTTGATCACCGCTTTTAACACTCGGTCAGTGTGAGAAGTATTAACTGTGTATGTGGGGTCTAGACGAACACGTTCGTGTCAATTGTTCAATAAAACACTCCCTTAACAAAGAAGATGTAAGAATGCGTAAGCACTCATTGTCAAGGAGAAAACGTCAACAAAATGGACTGTAGCACTTTTGTATTCGGAGGGGGCCATGCATGGGAGATGGATACGATAGATGAATCTACAGATACGTTTGAAGCGTACTTCTGTGAACGTAAGAAGAACAAATTCTATACGTTTTTCATAACGACGTAAGCAGTCAACAGGAGAGGGATAAGTGAAAAAGACATCACTGCTGGAGAGATTTGTGAATTCTGGACAGTTAACATATTAATGTATATTGACACATGTAAATTATAGTAATCAGATACTTTACGTTTCCAAGACATGAACTATTAGTTGTAGACATATCTACACATCCAAAGACACATACAGACGCTCATTCTTTCCATACACCATAACACAGTGGAACATCCTACCCAAAATAATCATCCAATCAGAAACACCAGCAGAATTCAGGACATGCACCACATATAAAATAATCGAACAAATACAAAACCTATACAACACAACTAACACTCACTGCTTTTAACCTGTTTTTATCCTATAGCAAATTAAAAAAAGAACACTATAAAACAACGCACTACAGCACAAGATCACAGAAAATTCCGTAATCGTCAATATTGACGTAGGAAGGTTCCCAGATGAAGATGAAGAAGTATATGCACTATAAACCCAATGGAACCGGTATACTCTGTACACAATATTGTGATTTAAATTTCACCATGAAAACTAAATCCATGTTTAATACAATGTATGTACGTTTTTATTTTGAAAGAAAATGTACACAGCATCCCTTTTAACGTTATTAGATATCAAAAACTTTTTCCGAAACATTTTTAAATATTTTTTTTTAATTGCAGAAAATGTCGGCAGCATCATTATAAACGGGTATATGTATATTACATTGAGACATGAATGTACAAAAGCATAACTTGCTTTAACTAATATCTGATACGTCGAATTGAAACACAAATGGTTTAAATACGAGAAAATGTTATTTTTCACTTCTAACATATATCATTATGATATTTCTTCTTGCAGTGAAAAATCCATTTTATTTGATTCTCGATACTTTAATAGTGAGCATTTAAATATCAAGTGCAAAGATTTACGAAGTCGGAAATTTAATATAGCATGCATGAAGTTAAATAATAAGCCTTGATAATGACATTGAATGAAGATGTCAGAATTGTTTATCAAACGTTATCACACCAATCAGTCATGTAATCAAGTACGCCTTGCATAACAATTTTAACACCTTAATATGTATGTAATATGATAATATGAATATGATATTGATAGTCACATTTACGCTGTACAATACCTGTAACGGAATATATAAGGAAAGTGGTGCTGTAATTTAGTTTTATATTTAGTCATTTCAATACCGTAACACGCTATAATTTACTGTGACTGACTTGTCTGAGATGGAGAAATGGTTTTTGCTATATACGTTATAAAATATTCTCTAAATTGCACTGTCGAATCTTTCACAGGAGGTGAGTCCACCAGGTTAGAGGAAGAAAGTGAAACAAGTGCAACTTCCGGTCAACCCAACATGGAATCCCGCCAGTCTGGCCTGTCCGGCATCTCGCGCCAGGACAGCATCATGAGTCAGTCTTTCAGGTCACTCCTCTTTAAAAGCTGGGAAGGCAGCCACAATAGCTTCGTTAACTTCCGGTCTAGACTGGGCGGAAGTGTCCGTCATAAGTATTGCATGTGTAAGTATTACTGAACATCTTTGTTCAAACGTTTTAATTACATATCATTAGAGGTTATCACTCACAATCCATATCAATTTCCTAGTACATTGTACGTGTATTGGATTTTCACCAATGAGTAATGGATGCATTACCAACAGAGAGCACATACAGACCAGACCAACACTATTCCGTATCATACAAAAATACGGTATGCATAATTCAGAGAGAATATTACAAGAGATTTGCATGAATGGTCTTAGGTATCTTGAGACTCCTACTATCAACTGGAATATTTTAAAGTACCTGCTTGAAATCAAAAAGGAGAAAATAGCATGCATGTAGCTAGCTCAGAATTGTTTTATGACACTAAACCCTCCTCTAAGTCATCTACATGTACGGTAGGACAATGCACTTCTGCATTATTTGGTGATGTCTTACCTGTACCGACGTTTGAATGAAATTGAACACTTGACAGTTCAAAATGCTGATAATATCTTTGTTTTCTCTACGTTGTAGGTTGCAGGATCACGAGCATGCCATTTGTGTTCGCCAACGTCGCTATAGGCATGTTTATCACGTGTGTAGGTACGTCATATTGATCACGTGTCTAAATTAAGCCATGTAATGCTTTTTCTTAAAAAAATAAACATGACTATCTAAAACAAAGTTATCCTGTGTCAAAATAATGCATGTTTATCACGTGTTAATGTAAAAGGCTCTTCTTATGGAAAGTTTCGTATTGACACAAGATTCATTTTGTCACTTCAGCGAACAGACAAACCCGAAACTTTATTTTTTATGTATTATTGTACTGCCCATTGAACATATAACGACCAAACAGGAGCTGTTTTCGAAACATCGTTTCACCTATCAATCTAGTTCGTAAAGATTTGTGTTGTGTGCTATGTAAATTGTGTTTTGCGTTACAGCTGTGCTGTGTTTCATCCACTGCCAAGACGAGTTGATGATGACGGTGTACGTCCTCGTCAACGGTTTGTTGTCCGTATTCTTTTTCCCCACCCTCATCATGGCATGGAACAAGCGCGTGGGTGGGTGTGTAAACGAGTCAAAAAAGGGGGAGGATGACAAGGAGGAAAGTCCGGCTTTTTTCATCGTTACTCTCCTGTGTCGGATCATTTCTTCAATCACAGGTAACGTGGTAACCTTTTTCATGTCACGTAAAATAGAGAGAAGCGTGAAAATAAGCAGTTCTTGCAATTGTTCTTCGTTTGAAAATGCCAATAGCTTAACAAAACAATGCAATTGTACCGTATGAATCTATACCCTGTACCATATTATAATAATCGTATTTTTATAAAATCTTAAAAAACAACCATGCATTACCTGAACCCCAGACAGCTATCGCTCCGGTCGATTTCTTGTTGAATACCATGTTTTACATATCCACAATACAGAATCTGTCTTGCCTTCTTCTATATCAGGAACGGTCCTACTGGTGTACCGATACTACTGGATGGGTCCAGAGTGGGACAGCACCCTATGTGAAGTTGAATTTTTCATGACTTTCGCCGTCATTACGATGGAGTGGACACTTCTTGTACTGTTCCTCATCTTCCCCATCATAATATACTTCTGTTTTTATCGCGTCGCGCCATACCTCCCAGACGATTTTGAGGACGAGTTACGTATCACACCGGAAATGTTCAACGAATAATTATATTGAATGGATATGTGATGTGTCAGTCACCGGGAATAAAGCATGTTTATTGAAAAGATTGCACGAGGACATTTAAAGTAAGCACGATGAAACTCAAAACTGGTCACATTCACATGTGGATATGATAACCAGTCAATACTTGGAGTGCAGCATTCACACCGGAAGTGTTCTGAACGGAGATATTTGTGTTACTTGTGTAAGGAGTTGTACATGGAATTTACACAAGGCATTGCAGTATCTGTTCCGTGTTTAGTATATGAAGCGGGAATGACGTTACTTTATTTGCTCAATGAATATTAGTAATTATTATTTTGTATGCCAGAAATGTCTTCCAATACAGAACATCGGATTGAACAGGTAAAAAAGTGAATATAGTGGAACAATTCAGTTGTGAATTATGACTATATAGACGATTATGTTATGTTCAAGAGACGCAACTTATGAAACATGTAAATATTTTGTTTCTTGTTGAATTTATACGTTACGTTCACAATTTATGCATACGTATGCGAGGGCAGACGAATGACACTGCATACAGATTTGTACCTTGTTAACATTCATCACCATGTAAAGCTACACTATATATATATATTTTATACATGAGCTGTCACTGTTATAAGATGCAATGAATATATAATCAGGTAGAACCGACTAGTGTTGTTTAGCCTGACGTTATTACATCATTTGAATAAAATGTTACACATTCATCTGGACGAGTGTGCGTCATAAAATAATTGCAGCCGGTTAGCATACATGTACGTCGGTCGTTCCACACGTCCACCACGTGGCGGGAAATGTCAAAAACCAGTGTCATATTGAGATAAAATCCGACGATCTATGAAAATGCTACCATTGTACACATTCCTTACTGAAATATTACTGCCCGAGGTTTCACAACGATTGACGGTTGGTGGTGGTATTTAGCGCACTGTCATTTATCGATTGTCAAAAGGTACACAAATACGATGTTTAGCAAGTGTAATTTAAAAATTAAAATAACCAGAATGAGATCATTACGATAAACAACCGTATGGTTTATTCTGAAACTTTCACAAATATAGTTTGTTAAACAGTTAATCTGCTGTTAGCCACCATCAAGGATATTTGAACTTATCAGAGTTTCCACTAGAAGACCATCGAGAAAAACTGACATCTTCATCAAAATATGTTATATTTTACAATATCATTTATAATGGTATCAATTACCGATATAAAATAAATAACATCGGTTTTTAATTGTTCGTTGTCAGGAACTAAATGTATTTCATAGTCACTAGTGTTGACCACCAATCCGAGATCAACAGCCTTACATGTAAACACTTGGTTACACATTGAAATGTACAGACATTCATATGATATATCACACCTTTCAAGCACAGGGACCTGCTAATTTGTTACAGCTATATATGGACCCTTAACTAAGGTGTCCAGAGTAATTTTACATGTTTTAGGGGTTTAGATCGACTTTCGGTAAAAATGTCACCCCAATGATTATGGTAAAATTACGCTGGACACCTTAGTTTAGGTCCATATATATAGCTGTAACAAATTCTCAGGTCCCTGTGCTTTCACGGTCAACGGAAAACCATTTCACAACACACATATGTACAATGTAAAGTACAAAGTACAAATGAGAGTTCTCCACAAGTGCGCTCTGCAGTTTTTTGCAGATGTTTCGATTAGTCTGCATGAGTATTCTACATCCTCGATATTCAGGGGTTACGCTCACTTTCGCTAAATTGAAGGCACTAAGATAGCTGTTTGATTGGTCTCAGGTAAAAAAAACAACTGACTAACCGCTAGGCTGATACCTGTCCTTTGAAGATTACAAAGGAGAGACGCCCGACTTCAAAGCCTGTCAATTTTTACCGTTACGTGACCGCGAGATTCTTTTGATGTACATCAAAGGATCGAACTAGTCTCCTCGTCTCGTCCACAAGCATCCTCGCTATCCAGGGGTTATGCTCACTTTCGCTCTCTACACCCCTTGAATATGCAAAATTGAAGGCACGAAGATAGCTGTATGATTGGTCTCAGGTAAAAAAAAACCACCTGACCAATCACTTGACTGATACCTGTCCTTTGAAGATTACAAAGAAGAGACGCCCGACTTCAAAGCCTGTCAATTCTTTTGATGTACATTGAAGAATCGAACTAGTCTTCTTGTCTCATCAACAAGGTGGTGCACACCGAGCCTTCAATTTGACTATGCCATAGTCCAGGGGCGCAGAGAGCGATAGTGAGCGTAACCACTGGATATCGAGGATGGGTTAGTCTACTACATACATGTACTCACATTTATTACATACTTACTAATAAATACGGGGTTTTTGTATATGCGATACGACACAATTGCTCTAACCTATATCAGCCCTCGCCGTATCACACCCCGAAACCCGTATCAGCCCTCGCCGTATCACACCCCAAAACCCGTATCACCGGTATCACACCCCAAAACCCGTATCAGCCCTCGCCGTATCACACCCCAAAACCCGTATCAGCTCTCGCCGTATCACACCCCAAAACCTGTATCACCGGTATCACACCCCTTTTGGATTTTTTTCGTTTGTGAATATTTCAAAAGAAAAATAGATCAGAAGATAGTAAATTTTATTAGTGAATACGTAATAAACAGAATAGAACATGCCTTTTTCCGTATCACACCCAGTATCAACCCTCGACCAATATCAGCCCGAGGGCTGATATTGCAGTCTCGGGTTGATACAGGGTGTGATTTGGGAAAAAGGCATGCATTATTCTCTACATTTTCACCAAAGGCACAAAGCGATAACTTAAAATCTTGTGAATACGCGTTTTTGATCTTTGTGACTTTGTGACTCATGCATGTACATGCATTTCAATATGTTTCAATCAAGCTGCAAATATTCTTATACTTCTTTGGCTGAGAAAAATGGATATTTTATTCAAATTCAATTTACATTGTTTCACAGGGTTTTCGCATTTAGTGGTTCTTACGTTTGTCTTCATCTGATCAACCTTGGGACACGAGCTCTAGAAAAGCACGGGTATCGTTAGGATATGTGTTCCACAGACCACTGTGGCACAGTTTCCAATAACCTAAGCCCCTGGCCCCAACACCAATTTTTGACAATTTTAACTACGTCTGTCTATTTGCCTAAAAGTCTGTCGTTGATGCTATAGGAAACCTGAACAAGATGCATTTTAAGGAAAAAAAATATCTTTTGCGTGGTTGGAGGAGGGTTGGTTTGGTTTAGTATTGTTCAACGTTTTATCAACAGCTATGGTCATTTAAGGACGGCCTCCCCTGTGTGCAAGATGCATGCGTGTAGTGTGTACGTGTTTTGGGAGGCTGCGATATGTTCGTGTTTGTCTCCTTGTGATAGCGCAGAACTTATGCCGACTTTAGGTCATTTGATGACGACAGCCAAAGATTGAGATGAGGAACATCCTTATTGGAGCTTAACGTCATGATAATGTATACCCTACAGCCAATACAAGGGGCTGGCTATAGAGCGGTACATATTTACATAAAACTAGCTAATTGTTTGCAAAGAGATTACAGAGTAGTTACACAAAACATGTTATTACGAGTTTTGTGAACAATATTGGATTATTATTTCTTAATAACAAAAAATCAATCATGTGGATTAATTATATTATATCGTTATCTTGAGTGTCCAATCTGACACAGAAGGTTCGACGTCAACAGTATTTATATTCTAATAAAAAAAATTGCTCGTGACCATTGATCTTTTCTGAAGCCAACATAAATGTTCATGGTTATGGTGTCAAATCATAGAGATTGGGAATGACACCACGGTTAAATGAATAATAATCGGTACCTGTGATATTTATTGACATATGAAGGGTTCATTATTGACGGTTTATACGATACAGCCAAACCAATACGAAAGGATAATGTACGAAAACATTTTATGAAATACACTACCGGGTATGTCGGATAATTGACAGGTTGTTTTGTTCTGCCAGTGACCTGTTGAACTTGTATCTAGAAGTACCCGAAGTGAGTGTTACTGATAATCAGTAGTGTGATATGGACCTTGTTTCTTATAGACTATTTTTACTTTCCAGACATTCATGAATGTTTGTTAGTTATCTAAATGCATTACTCATTGACACTCGCAGCATTTTGGACCTGAAATCATACAAAGTGATATACAATTTTTGTACCCAAGTTTGAAGAAAACATGTCTACCACAACCGGAATGGTTGAAGCCGTCAATACTTCCGGTTCAACAGCCAACGTCATATCCGCTAGTGACGGACTTACCTATGCTTTTTTGACACTGGTTGTTTCGTTACTTTCATTGTTTGGAGGTATCGGTATAGTTGTGTTGTATTTAGTCTACAAGAAACTCCGGACTCACGCACGCACGCTACTGGTCTACCTTAGCCTAATGGACACCGCGATAGCCATAGGTAACATCTTAGGTGTGATATGGGTACTGCACAAAGACGGACCCGTCTTACGTAGGAACATGACGTACTGTCAATTTCAAAGCGCTCTCACCATATTCTCCAGTATTGGCGCCTTCTGCTGGACAATGGTCATGTCGATCTGTCTCTTCATGAGCATAGTATGTATCAACCTCACATTCACCGCCAAATACATGAAGGTGTTTCACCTCGTCTGCTGGGGATTACCAAGTACGATCTGCATCTTTTACGTCCATACTGGTTTATTTTATGTTTTTACCAAAGCGCGATACTGTAACGTCATTCATTCCTATAGAGGATTGTTGACGCCATCACCAGTTTGACATCAAAATGGTACATAATTTTGTAACTACATTTGTAGACATTATTGTTATGACTCTTAACAGCATAAACCTTTTCTTTTTATTTGAAAAAAAACATGCGTTGCATCGAACTAAACATTCCAAAATGGTAAATGTAACAATTGAACCACTTTCAGTTGATACTCAATTAACATAAGGTACATGGCATCTGAAATCTACATGGAACACATTAATGATTTAATTTTAAGTTTGATGCGATGTGTAATGATTATTTACATTATTAAGGCATAGTGACCATAGCAGCATGGTCCAGTGACGTCCTCGGCTATGACCACAACATCACTCAGGCCAGCTGGTGCTGGATTGACCCACTGGTGCCGCACGCCATGGTATGGCAGCTGTTTACCGGCAAGGTGTGGGAATTCTCCTGTTCCGCCCTCACCACTGGACTTTCGTTCGCCGTGTTTGTTTACATCCGGCGGAAGGTGCGTATTGACCATACTTAGTCAATCTGCAACTGTTGCCTTTTCGGTAAATTTGGCAGCAGTCATGCTTTGTCTGAAATTCATTGACACAGTCCTCAATCGAAATTTTAGTATAAATACATGTACACTATATATACATGTACATTAATCAAGGTAATGAAATATGCTGCAAAGAAACAGAAAAACACATTTGTCGGTTATGGAATTGGTAAATTGAGGCATTACTTTGAAAGTTTTAACACATTTACACTAGATTTCGCGATGTTTACATAAAACCGTATTGCCCCGTGTGTATTTTGGGTTTACTACTGGTACATAATAATAAGATAATGTTTTTGCAAAAACGAACGTTTGATGTTCTATCTATATCCTTTATATGCCGAACGATTTTCAAAAAGGAAAATATTCTGAAGACTAAATTACTTAATTTGGACAACATACAATATACATGTCACAGATAATAGTTTAACAATGTTCTTCAAAGGTGTTAGCATATGTAGCTATAAATACATGATGGTATATATGGTACGAAATTTGATTAATGATGATAATAGGCTAACACAAGTCTTGCATCAAAGTCCAACCGGAAGTCTAAGAAAGCTGCAATAGAATCAGCAAACCGGAAGTTGATGTTTGTACCGCTGGTGTTCATTCTCTGTCGTATTTGGGGAACACTACGTTTCTTCATTGGGAATTTTGCACCTGGGTATGAAAATAAACCAGAAGTGTCGTGGATTGTCCCAATGCAGGTGAGTTAAGTTATAGGCATACTTGTAAGTTGGCCAAAATAGTCTTGAATATGCATAAACGTTTTTGTTTTCATTGGTTTGATTAAAAGGGATTATTTCCAGCTATGTTAAAATTACACAGGAGCCTGCCCCCTCATAACTTTTGTTTCAGAAATGCTACGAGTTTTATGCTGCCGTGTCAACATTTTTCAATCCCTTATACATTTGGAGTTATTACTTTGAATCACTCTACTGCTTATTTAGATGGTTAATTAAACTAATTACAGCATGGGGGCCGACAAATAGATTATCAGTCGAGAGTATTGTTTTGGATCGTTATACTAGGGTAAGAACATTTCTTTCATGTGATGCTTTAACAATATAATTATCATTCAGAATGTGAGTTTAATCGAAGATTTAGTGAACATTTTAATGCAAAATACAGGATTTTTCATTCTTATTATTCTTGTATACCACAACTCTTCATAGTATGAAGAAGTGTGGTTATTTCAAATATGTATGCAAAACTACAGTCCAAAACAAGTGGTGGAAAGTATTCATTTCGCACAACAAAGTACCCTGTGTACCCAAGAAGGTGAGGGCCTAGGACACCTCCCTGGAATCCAACAAAAAGCAATGCACATGTTTACAAGTAATTAGTAATAAAATTCGTTGCAAACCGACAATAAACCTCTCATTGCATGCTAGGTCACAAAAAAAAGAAAATTGTATTGTTTACAATCAATTTTGAGATCAAATATTATGTACGTGTTACTTTTTAGAATTTGTTCTTATACATTTTGTTATCATGTTTTATACATTTTATTATCAGAGCTTTTTTCCATTGCTTTTAGGGAATACTTCATAGTTATTTCTTAGTTTTCATTTCGTAATGAAGAGTAAATGTGTTGTTGAAGGTTGCCATCGTATCTTTGCGAAATCACGTAAATGGAAAGGTACACAAAATGGAAATAAATATCCATAACATAAATGGCTTTCGGATATACTTACAAACAGTGGCATAGATTGCTCAAATGAAAATGTTAGTATTTGTCCGAAGTGCTACATCAGGTATCTGCGCAAAATAGAATCTGAAACAGAACGTTTGGAAGATGCAATTACTAGGAGTGTTCCTCTCTTAACAATCAAGGACCTGTTTTACGGGTCCTGTTCACACACAAAAAAAATGATGTCTTTGTATTAACAATTTCAATTCGAAGGGAAGCAAATTCACACTTCTGACAAACATGCCAGACATCAGTCAATTTTCACACAAATTGTGGTGTTCTGCGTCATCACGTGTACGATCATTTCATCTTATTGACAATGACCTGAACCCATGTACACATGTTATCATATAAGGAAGAGAGTCTTTCAATTCTCAATTATGAAGTAGGTCGTCCGAATTAATTAAGTGCCGTACGTCTTATCAAAGAATCAATCAGTCTTCACTCTCAATTGTTTTCTCTTCGATATCTCTGGTTGTAAAGACAGGTTGGTTAAAGAAAAGTTTCTCACAATTCATTAATACTTGGTCCCAATTCCTTCTTCTTCAGTCTTCAGTATTTATTACGTTTTTACCAGTAAAACATTGAAAATCATTCATTCTAAAAAATGATATTTTTTACTCGTGAAAAATATCACTTTTGCTATTTGACCAATCAAAACACTGATTACAAACTACTAGTGAGGCTAATAATTTGATATTTTTCACTAGTGCTGCGCACCAGTGAACGATATCAAAATATTAGGTTCCACACTCGTTAAATATATTTGGTATTACTGAAGACACTGTTAGATATCCTCTATATACCAAAACTACACAAAATGCTCTTTTACTGTTTTGGGTTAAGATGAAAACTGATATTGTTTTGAATTAAGTATTCCGCTCTTTATTTGGCATTTCCCTGTCTAGTATTTCAAACACCTTTCATTCTGTAGTACAAGCATTGAATAAATCTATAGTTCCAATGTTCCTTGGTCCTGAACATTTGAGTAGGGAACATGTACATTCACACAATACTTATTATCGGAAACATTCTTTGGAGATAAAGTGATTGCCTTAATAGATGGTACATATATTTATGCTAAAAAGGGTTTGGTTTGGTTTAGTATTGTTTAACGTCCTATCAAGAGCTATGGTCATTTAAGGACGACCTCACCTGGGTGCAAGATGCATGCGTGTAGTGTATGCGTGTGTGTTTTGGAAGGCTGCGATTTGTTCGTGTTAGTCTCCTTGTGATTGTGAAAAACTGATGCCGACTATATAGTGCTACCTCACTGAAACATACTGCCGAAGACACCATGCAGGACACCCAAACCGGTCACATTATACTAGCAACGGTGGCCAAAAGGAGCGTAATTATCTTAAATGCATGAGCATGGCTAAATTTTGGACACAGAAGGGTTATTCTCCGGAAGCAAAAATTGATGCAAGCATTACAATAAACATGATAGACAACCTCACATGACTGGAGCAAGATGACAATGTAGTCGTTGATCGTGGTTTTAGAGATGTCCTGCCCATGTTAGAGGCATCTGGGATTAATACCAGTATGCCCTTATATCCTAAGCCTTGTCAGAGCCAACAAGCTGATCTACAGGCTAACATTGACAGAACAGTATGACTAAATCCCGATTAATTGTAGTCTTATCATGGCCGTCTTAAGTATTGGGTATTTTTTAGAATTCAAATAATATCAAATTGCTTCATTCATATAATTGAGGAAGTGCTTAAGATTGTGACTGCATGTTTTAATTGGATACGGGGACCAATTTATCACTGATCACCGGAAACTGACAAACAAGACAGAGAACTCGCACACCAAATGAACTTTCTACTTGCAAAAACAAACTGTTTGGCTCAGAAGGTAACAAAAACATCTACCAAGAGAGCAAAGACAGAATTCGTAAAGATTATAAAATATGGATGAATCAGCACTCTCAAGACCTCATCCGTTGTCAGATTTGTTCCAGACACAAAAACCAGATAATGTTTGGATTCAGTACAGCACGACACCAAATGATAATAATCCAATAACAGATTACTACTGCCAATGCCCAGTAGGTCAAAGAGCTATGAGAATGTGTGTTCATACACCAAGTAAACTTTATTATCTTGGCTATCATAGCAATCTTCATAATCCAAAACAGTTGCACCCAAGGGCTAAGAAGTTCCGAAAAAGCTTACATTTAGGTTTTTTCTTGTGAATCTAAAATCACCAATTTGAAAACAAACTCAAAGCTTCGCATCATTTTTGTCTTCTTCCTTTTTTCCAAATCTGCCATTCGAACACATTTCCTGATCTTGCATCTTGCAAAACATTATCTGTAAATGTCATCAGCTGTTAATACGGAGTCTAACTCTAAAATATATAAAACAACGTAACAAACAAATACACAATATCTGAATTCCATTGATATTGCAAGAATGTTGTCTGGGATTCTGACAACTGGCTATGCAGTAGAATGAATGTTTTGGTGGCAATCTTGAAACGAAATAAACCAACAAATCTGTTTCAAACGTCTATTCTGTTGATTTAATATTCATTCCATCTAAACTGGAACAAATATTTTCTTCTTTTCGGGCAATTTTCAGTCATAATGATTAGACTATGCACATAGCCATGAATTCTGATGTATAGACCATATGGTCATTTGATCCCTTCTTTGAATATGTTCCACCACATATTTTGGATTGATATTTTTCGCACTGGTAGTTCAAGACATAGTCCTTCTATGATCAAAATAATTTTGGTATAAAAAAGTTATAACATACTTTTATTCTCGGATGAACACATTTTTGTCTGGGAAAATAGCATTGCTTGAGATGGCTTTTGGCTATTGATTTGTCTGTAAATATCTGATAACTAACCATAGCAATTTTACATGTATACTGTAGCATATGATCCCTGGTATTGGTTGCATAATAAAGTATCTTTCAATGCATTGTTAGTTTGACAACATTCGTCTTTCGGGAAAAAACTATGACTTTCAGTTTTATGCTTCTACGAAAAACGAACCAAGTGCTCATTTGAATTTTAGTGGGTGTTGTTGTTGTGATAAAATTGAAATCAAAGGAGGGGCCATTTTGATCCCCCCCCCCCCCCCCCAACTCCCTTTAGAAAATAAGTGTATTGTAAAACTATTTTATATGTCAATCTTTTGTTGTTGCAGGGTATAGGAGACAGTGCCCAGGGTTTCGTTAATTTTGTAGTGTACTGCTGTATGACTGACGGAGTTCGGCGGAGGATTTTTAGATCGTGTACGTGTTGTAAGCAGAGGGGCGGAGAGAGTTCCGGATCCCCACCCACTATATCGCTGGCCACGTCACATAAAATTACACATCTGCAGGCTCCGACCTATAACCAACACGCGAAATCTGAAAAGATTGCACCATACGTCTTTATGCGGTCAGCTGTTGACATCACGGCACACACAACAGTGATGGAGACGGCCATCCATGATGCGCAAGTAATGCCACTCGGCACACACGTCGTGGACGACCACCAATAGTACCGATCGTACCCACTTATTCCATCTTTGCGTATTGCAGAGTTATCTTCTCTGTGGAGCAGGTATTGATTGTTGCGTCATTGGTTTGTGTGAGAAAATTACGTCGTTTTCTCAAAAATTGATGACGTTACTCTCACAAACAAGTGACGTAACAATCAATACCTGCTCCCAAGAGAAGATAACTCTGCAATACGCAAAGACGGAATAGACATCCATCAGTAGTTACATTATCTATGCATGGAACAGTTAAACCTCCGGCTAATATCCTTGAAACATTAGGTGTTACGTACGCGTCCACCAATGATAACGTTCATCAACAGTGACCTCCATCCACAGTAACGTCAACGAAAATAGTTTAAAAACTTCCCAAGAGTCCGTATAAACTACGTTTTATCGCTGGTTCTGCTAGTCGCCCAGAGGCGTGGCACAGATTCTTAACCCTATATGGTCCGTATATATTTCAGATCAATTTAGGTATGTAATGCCCGAGCCATATATTAAAAACAAAACTAAAATCATGTATAATTTATGTTTAAAAGGTGATAAATGTCCACAGCATAATAATACGGCGACTAAAGAAAATGTTAGTGAGTTTTAAATCCTGCAAAGATAAAAGTGTATTTTTACAAATGTACAAGTATATTGCAGACCTATATTGACGTTTAATCGTGTCTAGTAAGGCATTCGTGGCCGGGCATATTTTATATAGACGTTTTATCATTGTATTGTAACATTTGTAATTATGTGTGTTAGACATGGAAATATTGATATTGATATGTGTTACGCCCCTGTAGACATCATCCAAACATCCTACATTTACATGCACTTCTATACTTTGTACAAAATGACCTTAAGTAGTAAATGAATTTTAACACCAGTAAATGTTCTATCATTAACGTATCCAAAAAAAGAAACATCATCAGATTTCAGAAAATGTAGATTCTAGTAAATATCTTGGTTTTACTTTCAGTTCAGACCTTACTTGGGGCAAACCCATTCAATCAGTAACCAATAAGAACTGGGCTTCATATACGTCGAAAAACACTTCATGTACTAGAAAAGTTAATCCACAGGCTCTTGTAAGACCAGTTTTAGAATGCCTCAACTTATTGGGACCCAGCTATGTCATCAACCACATACAACAATTAGACAATATACAACGCAGAGCAGCGAAATACACTTTTAATAAGCTAGATTGACAATAATTCATGAATGCTATACAGTGTTCAAGATCTCGCATAACGTCGTTAAAATTAATTCATCATCTTACTGGATATCAGGTGACAGACGAAAAAGGGGGGGGGGGGGGGGGGGGGGGGCACATAAAATAAACACAATATCTACCACATGAGGTCATGTACATATTTTTCGCTATTACAATGTACCACCCGAGTGTCAATAGCTACGCCGCGCGGCAGTGGCTATTGACACTCGGGGCATCTTTTCTGGAAAGCGGTTACCGGGCGTTAGGTCCCGGATTTACACCTTTGTAATTAGAAATTCACATAAATTGTATTCTGTAATGTTATGTACATAACAAAATAAAGCCAGCTTAGTAAAAAAAAAAAAATCATCGACGCATTGGTCGATTAAATGCAGTTCAATTAAAGGTTAATAGTATTAATGTTAATATTGCGACTAATAAATATTTTCGGACACCTTATGATGCTATTTGGTAACTCTTTAGCAGGTAATTCACGGACATCTGACTGAATAATTCGTTACTTACAAGCTGTATTCTGTATATCATCTAGGGACCATTCAAGTATTGCGTTGTTAACAAAAACGTGCACGTGGGTAAACGTACAGACACTAGTGTATTATATGAGGGAGACTCCCGATTTTGAGCCTCCCTCCCTTGGAAATTTCAACAAGTTGGCAAGTACGTGTATGTATGAAAAAAATGTATTAGTGATAAATCTGTGAAATGCACAACCAGACCGGATTCGAATTTGGGACCCTCCGAACTCTAAAACGGAAATTCTTCTAGCAATTGAGCTACCCAGTCACTGACGATTGACCGGCCAGTCCAGTTCTGCTACATCCTTCCCTCTGACCTCCGGACAGACATTCTACCAATTGAGCTATCTGGTTGATGTTGATCTACCCAGTCCAGTCTGCTACAGATCTTATGTATGATGAAGTTAGTGACTATTTCTCCTAGAGAGGAACACTCAATCAGCTGACATCTGACAAGATTGGAACAGACTTCTCTTCATGGCAAGGTCAATGGTTTTAGGTTCATCAAAAGGTAAACAGACATTATGACCCATTCACCCTCTCCTAACTTTTAAGCCCTTCCTCTTTAGTTTTTCTCCCACCAATTAGCCCCATTCCCATCAGCTGTACCTTGTTAGCCTTTAAAATGTAGGCCCTTTCCATTTGTTTGTATCATATTGCCTCCTAAACATGAATCCTCTACCTAATAGCCACATTCCCGTTATTGTTTTATTGTCGTCTATGAAACATAAGACGCATTCCCTTCAGACACACATGGTCGTATTCTTGAACTGTTTGAAGGGTCTTAAATCAATGATTTTCCTTTGTTCGTTTAAGATCGAATTATGACTGTGTTCACATCTTGCTCTAATATCTTATTAATGTTATTGAAACTCTTTATTTTCTTATCTTTCTTTATCGGGTGTGAGTGTGCTATACTATACTGCGAACATGGACGATTTCAGTAACATATTTAGGATGAAAATTGTGAAAACTGTGAAAAGTCAAGGTGTTGTCAGAAATCTAAAATGCTTGCATAAACCATAAAAATAGTATTTTCTTTTAAATTATTGAAGTAAAAAGTCTTCAAAATATAGCAGTTTTCAGATTACCTCTACACCTTATTTTTAAGTTAAATAATTCCATTTTTCACCAGTTTTTGCTGATTTAACGATTGATATATAAAAAAAATGTGATGACTGGCAATTTGTTTGAATTTCTCTTGATTGAAAGAAAATGTGTTTCCCTTCTTAAAACATCATTATATGTTAAATTTAAATAAAATCCTCGGTTACACTAGATCAAAACGAAATTTGAACGCGATTTAAACCTCACCACAGTAGATCCTTAAAGGAATATGTATAGTGTTTGAATACTGTTTAAGAAATGGACCGGATACTTGTGTCTTATATGCTTGCAACATAGATATATGTAAGATATATATAAAACAATTACAAATAGATGATAAATACCAAAGAGGAACTGTATACATACAAATGTAGAATATAGGGTATCCGTGGGCAGCACGATATCATTATGATGATGTGTATGAAATTATATATATATTGTCGAGAATTTGAGAAAAACGAAGAGCACAGATAAAAATATATATATGTATATTTACAGGCCCTTGCTTACAATAGTACAATGTCTTACGTTGATGCTGATAAACCAGACACAGTTAGAAAGATTTAGAAAACGTAGATTGTTATAACATGATCAAAAACTAGATATACGGTGATGTTTAAATATTGGATATACGTCTCTGTTTTTACATAGTCAGATAGTCAGATAAAAATATTTCATTATGATACGTTAGGCACAGTACTTCCCTGGTAACGTTCAAGAAAAAAACTAAAATGACTTTTTAACGAAAACAAAGAAAAAAATACCAAGTAGACCTGTAGGATCGACTGATAATTAGTAATCTGAATAGTGATGATAATTGTATGAGCGAGCTTTTCCGGTCTTTATCGACAAAACAGAATACATGTACGACTCTTTTCAAAAACGGCGCGCAAGCACCTGTTTTTCTTCTTTTGGTTATCGCCCTTGTCGTCAAGCTCTTCAATGTTTCGCTTTGGCATCATTGAAATGTTTTTCGTTAGAGTAACCCTTTATCGCAGATGCTAAGCGTCTGGTTGACTGCGAATATATGTAAACAATGTATGGGTAGCAAAATTGAATATTGTTGATCAAATGACTGAATTGAACAAACGTAAGTCAAAAACATTATGCAGAGGCTGTTGTAGCATAGCTGATATAGCTTAGGCTTACCATACACTAGTTGATATGGATGAGCTCGATCGAACACGGCAGCTTTTGGAGTTACTGAACATCGGCATCGTGAAATGCTTGGGTAAGTCAACATCAGGAAATGATCTAAAAAACGTATGTAACTAAAATTTCCGATATTTATAGCATGTATATAGCTTCTTAAAAGAGTATAACATTTAGTCTGCTTGGTGAAGATTTCTTTTAACCAGAATTTGAGAATAAATTTAGTTTTAGAAGCCACACGGTAACGTGTTACAACTGAGTACCAATGCAAGGGGAGTAACTGTACATGTTATATCATCTAAATTCATTGATTCCTTTGTGGATGTCATTGATATTGAGATACACCATTTCATAAATTAATGTGGTAGTGGATGAAACTATACACAATGCACAGTACGTACAGCTGTATGTCAAGTCGTTTCAAAATAAAGATTTTATCAAAAATGTCCATTGAAGAGCAATAATTAAAACTTATACATAGTTGTCAACCTTCCCTCATTAGGAGGGAGACTCATGTATTTTGACAAAAAATTACCAATCACCCTTGGAACTCTCTCATTGAAGTCCAAACTCACACAAACTCAAAATATACATCCTGTGGTCAAATGATCTCTGCAGGGTGTATGTAATGATCATAACAAGTGTGTCTGAAATTCTGAATGAATTGAATTCTTTTGGAGTTATTTTGGTACATAAAAAGGGTAAGATAAATTGAGCACTGCAGTGTCAGTCACACACTTTTTTCCCCTCATTGGATGTTTCAGAGGTTGACACCTATGCTTATATAAGGATTTAAAGCGATGTAAGTATCTACAGAGACTACCATTGCAAAAATACAGACGGTCCAAACTTTTAGAAGGAGATTAACACAAAAAAATGCTTAAGAATGTAATAAACAATATATCAACAAGTTACATGTAGTGGAAAAAAGGAGAGTTACAATTATTTTATACAGATGAAATACTGAAAAAGGCAATCATTCACATAAAACATTGTGGTTTGTGAGTACGAAAATATTTCATGTATACAGTTGCATACAACACAACCTATGAAATATTTCTGTGTGATGTTTCGATGACTTGTGTGATATCATTAAATATACAGTAACACATTCATCAGACATAGGAGAAACAAAAACCTCATGATCAAGATATTCATCTTCTGTTAGAAAATTATTTAATCCTGGAATCCTGATTTAGAGAATGAGCTATATAGGAGGCAACTATATTTTCAGCCAGGATCCAGAAATAATTTTATAATTTATTTGATAATTACCTTCTGGGATTTTGATTTTCTGATGTCACTCTCACTCGCTAGAATGTTTTAGGTATCTATATTTTATTCCTGCCACATCCCTGCAAGTAATGGTTTGTATGCAGAGCTTTCATTTGTTATATGATTGATTTATCCCACATCAGGAAAATTATAATCAAGAATTGGCAGATTGGCCTGTCAGAGGTAAGACAAATAATTATATCAATTTGTATTTACAGAAAAGAAATCTAACCTTGGTGTGTGTAAAGTTGAGTTAGAGCAGAGAGCACCTGCTGATAGACATAATGTGTTGATGTGGGAACAGGTAAGTGCTGGAACTATTCTCTTCCTGTAGGTCCCCGATATTAATAATAATAATAATGATAACATACAACATCTTAATAGCGCCATACATGATTTGTAAAATTACTTTTAAAGACAGGTATCACCTCTGCACATTTCTAGAAATAGATGATTTATGAAATTATTAATTGAGATCATAATTATTTATTTTTTAAACAGAATATTGGCTGCTTTTACTCTGCAGTAATTAAGTAGAGTTGTTTTGTGTTTCTAGAAATGCATGTACATGTGTAATATAAAATATTGAATAAAATGGGACTAATTTGAAAACAAGTTCGGAATACACAATTTTAAAGATGATGTTTCACCTTCATAACAGGTGACATTCAATTACATATTTACATTTAAAAAATTGCTACCAGCAGTCCTCTACTCAGGCATCATTTGAAAGGAAAAATTGAGAACTTACATCATATAAACTGATTATCAATCAATAATAAGTTAAATGATATCAAGTACTACTGTAGTTATAACTTATCAATTATGATTTATAGCCAATTAAACATCATTTGCTAAAATCACATTAAAAAAAACATTTTCTATATGACTGAAATAGTAGTTCTGACAAAGTGCAGGCATTTAAATCGGCATAAGATCTTTAAAATGAAATCTGCAAAGAACAAAAATCAGAAGTTTTCCTTACATATAAGATTGATGTTAACGACTCCTGAAATTAAGGTTTATAATAATTTTTGATTTTTTACATTTTCTGAACAAATTATCAAAGGTGGTTACCAAAGGAATCTTTTTAGTTGTAAAACTTGTACAGAAGAGTAACCTTTCTTTGTCCAATTACATGTAAGCTTGCTCAGACGTAGGGCTGCAACAATATATCATATTGTATCACAATACTTTCTTGTTTATCGTATCAAATTGTTTTGTTTGCCTGTATCGTGATACATTAAAAATACTTAAATTATCAATCAATTTCTATCAAACTCTAAAAAAGTGTACTTATTTTTATTGAATCCTTCAGTAAAGATATGGTCTACTGTGCAGTCATATCGAAAAAGTGCTAAAAATCATACAACAACATATTTTGATAGTATTTACTACTGAAGTATTAAAAAAAATCAATAAAAACCCTCTCTCAATCATCATGAAGTTGACTTTATTAGCAGAAATTTAAATTGTGTTGCGAATTGTATTGTAAGCATTGTACCGCGATATGTATCGTATCGTGACGTATGTATATAATTGCAGCCCTACTCATGATCAGAAGAGTAACCTTACTTTGTCTGACGTTACATGTAAGCTTGCTCAGAAGAGTAATCTTTCTTTGTTCAGTTAGATGTACACCTGCTAAGATTCAATAATCATATACATTGCATGTATTACAACTCAGTTAATTTTTTTATTGCAGAGAAATACATGCTTTTTGCCGGAAGATTTAAAAAGCTTTTTCTTAACATCTGATGGTTTTCAACTTTCATGGTGTGTTAAAATGGATAGTAAGTACTTTCATGGTGTGTTAAAATGGATAGTAAGTATAATGTGTTTGTTCATCTGGAATCGCAGTTTTAATGTAACACAGTTTTTGCAGAAGCTTTGCTAAAACTACATCCAAATTAATTTCTTAACAAATTATTATTTTGAGACCACTTTTGTAAACTATTTTATTCTCATAATTTTATGTGTTGGGATTTAGATTTATAACAACATACCTTAAGATACTTTGACAAAGACAATTCTGTATACAACAAAAAACTCTTTCATTATAAACTGTAATTGAACAGCACCCTTAAGCTAAACTATACACTGTTTCAATACATAGACAATTTTCGTATAATTTCTAAATTTATCGTACCATCTTTAACTAACATTTGTTTTGATGTGTAAGGATTTAACTTTTCCCTACCTTATTCATTATTGTAGATGGCCCCCAGCCATTAGGTAAGATGAGGATTAACCGTGTCAGTCAGCTGGTACGTATTGGTGGGACAGTTCAAACTAGTCAAGTCAACCCCTCCATAGCTGACCTGGAGGGAGACTCGGACCAGGAGGATGAAGTCTCTGGTAGTTATTCACATCATAACATGTCAGCCAAGAATAGTAGACTGGAATATTAAAGCTTTTCACTCCTTTGGGGCAAGATAGGAAAATCTCTATTCCTCAGTCATAATTTTAACTTGTCAAATATGAGGCTTGTTGAGCGTTTGAAAGTTTAACATTCTTACTACAATGATGGAGATTTGCCTGCAAATGGAATGCATACTTACCAACTCTCTCTATTTAGGAGACTCCCCATTTTTTACCCTTAAATTAAGTTTTTTCAACCAGTGAATTTGCTGAACTATTCCTATATTCTAAGATATAATGATTTCAACTGAAAGAAAAACCAAAAATATGTCATTTTAAAGCATCTATTGTCTCTAGGGGGTAAATACACATATTTACACATATTTTATTTATGTTTTGAAGTTTGAGCATACAGAATCTCTCCAATCGAAATTTCAAAAAGTTGACAAGTATGCAATTGGGTATGTTTTTTTTCTATTTTAGATAGAAATTGTTTTTGATAAAAAAAAGAATGTGTCCTGTTTGTAGGTTCTGACCCTTTTTCAATATCAGCTTATGATCCACAGTTTTCCATGTATTTTGAGTTCCAATGTGTATTTATTTTAGGGTAAACCTATATTTCAATGTCTGTTGAACAATATTGATAGTACCTTATCAATACATTATGTCTATAACTGTAGTGTTGGTGGAATCGTACTTAGTTCTTGAAAATGTCTTTTTTGTTTTTTGTCGTTTTATATTCTTCACTTTTTTTTAATTAATTAATTTTATTTATAATTTTATTTATGTTCTGTTTTGTTTTTGTTTTTTTTCCTTACAAACCATTATACTGCAAATACATATGAACAATACCATGTTATAATTACTCTTTATGTTTTGTCCCATCTGAAAAGGACTGGAGAAGCCAACATTTGACAACAGATGTAAAATCTACGAGTTGGATCCATGCGATGGATATGGCAAAGTTTGTCTAGTGTACCGGGAGAGTAAAGCAGGTATGTACCGCAGTTTGTCTTCACACTACAGAAAGGACAGCGTTAGGTTACTGTAACAGTATCTGGTATTTACATCACCCACAATTGATAATATCAATGTGATTTAATGCTCACAATCTTAATTACTGTTAACAATATTAAACTCATCACAAAGACATTGTACCTGTCAATATATATGTAATTGTTGATACTAATAAACTGATTAATTTGTTTGTATTAATTTAACATTTGTTTCAACTAATTGTGTACCATTTATGAAATGTGTATTTTATGAATTGAAAAGTGACATTCTTTTTTCACCTGATAATGATTTTGTGCCAGAATTATACTTAAACATCTTGATTTATCCCTATTATGTCCAATCTCTACCGTGAACTTGTATTTTATATAGATATATTATGTACTATGCATGTGCTCTGGTAGACTTAGTCACTGAAATACAATGCAAGGTTATCAACAGATTTTTATCTAAATTATTGTGTAAGTATAGTACATCCTGTATACAAATTTTGGGTCAAACTTTCCCTTGCTAATTCCACAGTAGATTTTGACTTAAATTGTGCCTTTCAATGAGAACTAATCAGAAAGAAGCAAAACAGTTTTTTAATTTTTAATGATTTTTAGTGTGATGTAATTTTGGTGAATATTTAAACATTCTGGATTGTCTGTGCTGGTATGTGGTGTAGGAGCCTATTTATACCCCATGGTTAAGTAGTGCACAACACTGTGGATATCAGAATTTCCTCTTTCAGCGTTAGGTATTTAAAATATTCTCTTTTAAATCGTAATAGCTTATGAGATCATTTTTGTTACAGTTAGGGGTTTTGGGTCAAACTTGTCATACCTTGTATTGAGAATTGTATTGAAATTGTTGCATTTGGTGCCTGACAATATAAACAACCTTGCTGTAAAGGTCAAAGTTCAACCCAGTATGCATTGATGGATTAAAAGGCTTAAAAATATTATTTCACATAATCATGAGTTGTGTTCTATTGAAAGTTGACGATTTGAGAGGTTATTGTTTATGTTCATTTAAATTGGCCCCGTTGTTTGGAAATGTTCCCAGATATAGGCTATCTTTTTAGCTGACTATATCAACCTACTGAAGAACTCTTTTAAGGATGTATAAAGTTCAACTTTTACTCCAGATTGTTCTAATATTGGCTTTTCTGTGTAATGTCATTTTTTTATGGTACAGAAAAAACTGAGTAGAATTTGCATGTTATTGTTGTAATTCTTTCTTCTTTTAAGAAAGCCAATCACTTGAAAGGTAGCTAAGCACCAAATCAAACTATGCATGTTCTGTTTTATTAGAAACCAAAACAACTACATTTTGTATAAACTTTTCGTACATGCATATGAAGGTACGTAGAATATTTAAATTCTACCCCGTGGTGTAGTATTTTGGTCAAATCTGAGGTCTCTTCAGGTTGTGAATCAAACTCCTACTCCAGAGAGTAGAGTTTTCTTATCCTCCAAACTAACATAATGATTGACTCTTGTTCTCCCACTTCTAAGCCAGGTTTAGGGTAAAAAGTGACACTTCAAAATTCTATATTACATAAAAAATTCCCAAGAACATCAAATGAACAAGCTCTGTTAGCCTATGAAGAATAGTATTTTCTCTTACCCTGGACAGGTGTATCCACAATTTTACTGGTGTGAAATATCGTTTTCTCTTACCCTGGACAGGTGTATCCACACTTTTACTGTTGTGAGATTTCCTTGTCTCACCCTAGGGTTGAGACGGGGGGATTCCCCTATTCATAACAATGGCATGACGTCACCTCAACAATACAATGACGTCACGTCAACAATCCGTCAACGTCACATCAATCCTGAATTTAGCATGTAACGTTATCATTACATTGTGCATATGATACACAATGGGAGAACAGGGTAAGAGAAACAGAATAATTCACCCCCTTGTGGGTAAGATAGGGGAATCTCAACCCCCAGGAAAAGATTCTTAGGTTGCCAAACATTCGGCAAAGCCTCATGTTTGGCAACTTAAGATTCTTCCCCCTCGGGTTAAGATTCTCCTATCTCACCCCAAAGGGGGTGAAAGATTCTATTAATCTCACCCTAGGGTTGAGACAAGGAGATTCTCCTATTCTTAACAATGGTATGACATCACGTCAACAATACAATGACGTCATGTCAACAATCCATCAACATCACCTCAACCCTGAATTTCGCCTGTAATGTTAACATAACATTATGCATATGATACACAATGGGTGAACAGGGTAAGAGAAAAAGAATCACTAACCCCCTTGAGGGTGAGATAGGGGAATCTCTACCCTCGGGGAGAGATTCTTAAGTTTCTAAACAGTTGGCAAAGCCTCATGTTTGACAACTTAAGAATCTTCCCCCTCGGGTTGAGATTCACCTATCTCACCCCTAAGGGAATGAGAGATTCTATTAATCTTGCATGGATTACACATGGGACACATATGTCTTGCGTATTAAAGTATGTAGAAGTGGGAGAAAAGATGTATGCAGTAAATAGTTGGGGAATGAGAATAAACTTAGGAATAAATGGTAAAACTTTGTAGAGTATAACAATAAAACACTATAAGTGGGTATTTATATTTTGTGACCTAACTTTTTGATTTCAGAAGAAGGAGATGTAGAAACTTATTTTGGTAACTACAGTCATTTTGTTGTTCAGTTTTAGTTTTTTTAGATAAAAAATCTAAAACAGTTTAACTTTTTTTTTTACTGAAGTTCTTTCTTCTCCTTGTGATAATCTACTTCATTTTACTTCATTGGTTCTCCTCATTTCAAGCTGCCCCTTTCTAATCTAATTCATTTAAGGTTATATCAGTACATCACTACATTGTATATCGTGGTGTTTATTTATTACAAAACCCTAATCTACAATCTACTTAACACTCAAACCATTTATTGGTTACATGGCCTAAACACATTTGTCTATCTGAAAAGTTTTTCTACTTATAGTACTTAGTGTAACCTCCTTTATACATCTGAATTTTCTGATAATAATTTTTTAAATGCTGGCTTTAATTCTTTCAAGTAATTATTGGTATTAAAAATAACTTAAGGGACAAGAAGGACCCAAGTGTATTGACAACACTTATAAAGTTATAGAGTAATTATAGAGTATAAACGTTTTATCTGGGTGGGAAGAAAAGATGGGAGAACCATCTCCATATGCATGTTAGTAGACTTGATAATAACTGATAGATTTAGATACAACCTACTTTTATACATAGAAAAAGTCACCGTAAATACGTTAATTTTAACATATAATAACATCCTCTTGTAGAGTAGATAACCATTTTAGTAGTTTTCCATAAACTACAGTGTTGCGCCAATTAAATTGATTTGACTAAAAATATGTGTCAAAATCCTCCCTTTTTTCTTATATTCTATACTTAAACAATGTTAATGGCTTATACTATACTTACTATAATTGGTAGACATTATTGGAACACTACAATATACAAACACCATATTTAAATCCAGCAGTGAGCTAGGATTAGGACACTTTATATAGAAAATGACCTTTAAGATATTCTATAATCTTAAAATGTGTACATTGTATATTCAAACTTGTACATAGTGATCATAGTTTAATGGTTATTTTTGGTTATATTACATTACTTTTTGAAAATGTCCCCTGTTTTACTTTGAACCAACTATTCCTGTACTTTATATATGCATGTCCCACAACCTCATAATCATATCATAATGTCCAACAACCCCACATCATATTGTCCTACAACCCATTGTATAATGTCCCACACCCCTACATCATATTGTCCCACAACCCCATAATCATAATATCCAACACCCCCGAACCATAATATTCCACATTCCTACATCATATTGTCCAAATCCCAAATCATAATGTCCAACATCCCCATATCAAAATGTCCACCATCCCCACATCATAATGTCCCACAACCCCAAATCATAATGTCCACCATCCCCACATCATAATGTCCCACAACCCCAAATCATAATGTCCACCATCCCCACATCATAATGTCCCACAACCCCAAATCATAATGTCCACCATCCCCACATCATAATGTCCCACAACCCCAAATCATAATGTCCACCATCCCCACATCATAATGTCCCACAACCCCAAATCATAATGTCCACCATCCCCACATCATAATGTCCCACAACCCCAAATCATAATGTCCACCATCCCCACATCATAATGTCCCACAACCCCAAATCATAATGTCCACCATCCCCACATCATAATGTCCCACAACCCCAAATCATAATGTCCACCATCCCCACATCATAATGTCCCACAACCCCAAATCATAATGCCACCATTATTTTTTATTAATTGCATGTCTCTGTCTGTGTCAGCACATCCCCCTAATGTCTACTAATGTTGATGTCTCTTACCAGGTTTGACTTATTTTGACCCTGTGGATATATTTGATGGAAAGCACACCTCTGATTTGCTCAGATTTGGTATGATCTAACGTTTTAACCTATGGAACGCCTGTAGAATGGGCAAGCAGCTACTAACATGTAGTTCTATACATCCCTACCAAACAATTGTAACCCATCTCCCCTACCTTATTGTACTTCATATTGTACTTGGTTTACCTGTATAACTTATACTTTACATTTTTTTTCATGAATTTTATACTCTAATTTCATTACACTAACCCAGTTAGCCAGTTATGATAACACATTCTACTGTTATTGCAATCTTTTCAATATGTATATGTCGAAAATATACACGTTACAAGTATAAACTTATTCTAAACGAAAGAATGTATTATATGATATATCCTGTGATATGAAAAACACCACTTATCTATAAAGTGAAGTTGACTGTCAGTTCACGACTCAATTATAGGAATAGTCCACAGCAGGGAGCGAGGGTATTTTCCCAGAATAAAGGGTAAACTATTTGCTATGTATGTAGTACATGTAGGAGTGCGTAAACTTTGAAAAAAAGGTATGCATAGTATTCTTACGGAAAAAAGTAATGCTATTTTTGTTGCCTTATAACCTCACTTTTGTTGACCAAATTCAGTTTAATTCGGTAGTACAATTTATATACTATTTGTTATGAATTTGTGTAGGACCCAAATACAGAACCTTACCGAACGCTTTTATCAAAATTGCCAAAATTCAAGAATCTGCGGCATACCCACCTTTGATAAACTTGAAAACCATTCCAAATTGAAGTCCTGGTCTGTACATATGCAGCAAACATCAATTTAGTCGAAAACCAGTGAACACCTATAGACCACGGATGTCTGAAATTGAGAGAAGTCGGGCTTTTGCTTTAGCTTCGAAAGGTCAATTACAAACGTCGCGTCGCCCAGCGGTTTGGTGTTTATGAAGCCTCAGGACGATGGACGATTAAATTAACAGACCGCTCCAGAAGTTGGCCTCCATTCGTAATGTCGCGATGTAAAGACAGAGCGATACGTCTTTCTCGCCCTCGGAACCATTTTCAAACGGCAACGGAAACGACAAACAATGTCATTGGTAATCGTGTTCACCGAGTGTGTCCGAGAACGTTCATCAATCAGTTGCACGATTTCAACTTAAAGCCAGACGTAAATAAATCGTCTTTACAGTGGTCCGCAACTTAATCAAAGGTTTTACGCCTTTCCGGTCCGATGACCGCTGACGTGTCTGCCGACCTTGCAGCAAATGCATGCGTTAAGGAAAAATACAGATTTGAAGGAGGGTCTGTTATGGTTTGGGAGCAATTCTAATTGATTTTAAACCCCATTAATTGTCATCGAGGACAATCTCACAGTATTTAGACACCGGACCCAGGTCGTACAGCCCGACGTCACTTCCCGTATTCGTCAGCAGAATCTAACCTAATACACGTAGGACAATGCCAGGCCACACATTGCAAGGGTGTGTCATGCTTTCTAGTCCAAAACAATGACCAAGTGCTTGATTGGACACCGGGACGTCATTCTTGACACCGCCGCTTTTGTTACAGTATCATTTTTTCTTATAAATTAGTCATACATATGTAAAGGATCCATTGAACTGTTAAACATAACTCTAATTTAACAAATTCTATAATCTCTGCGAAATTTACCGCGAAAATGCGTTACTTTTTCCATCAGTACTGATACTAAAAGTATTGAAGATATTAGTAGTTGAGTGTTAGTTGAACACTAAAATATCCTGTCCATGTCAGTCTATCCCTGTTAATAAAACTTCCTTTTTCACTACTGATAAAGATGCTCTCTACTTACTTTCCTATGGAACGTTCAATCAGGGGTCAGCTGTCCACTTCCAAACAATGCTTTCGTATTGAGCATTCGATTAGAAATAAACTGTTTTCTCACATGTAGCGTTTTCCTCCTTAACATTCTACTAGCGATCGACTGTTTGCTTTCGATCTGTGCTTCAATTTCCTATGGATCTTTCAACAAATTGTCAACTGTATTGGGTAATTGGTAAAGGAGCACTACCTCATTTGCATTAGAAATCCAACTTGATTTCTATCGAACGCACTCTGGGTGTAAGTTCATTTACATGCATATAGTGCTTCTTAATTTTTCCTCAACTAGTCGTGAACTGACAGTCAGTCCAGTAATCGAGTTTAATCTCCATGTTTTTCGCGTTTTAAGGATCAGGATACTGCTTTGCTAGGTTTCAATGTTAATAGTTGTTCATATCGATTTTTAATAATTCCACAAACTATTATTGAGAGATGATGACTTATTTGTAATTAAAACACACAGATTCAAACAAATAAGACTATGACAACCCAATTCTGAGTCATTTTACATTTTTTACTTATTGTTTCTCTGTTTAGTCTGTCTGGGTATCTATGCTTTGTTAACGTAGTCGTATATACATGTAACGTAGACCTATACACATGTAATTCACGAACGTTGACATTTCTACATTCTGATTTCTCTCGGATGACTAATACGAGGGCCCGTTCCCTCATCATAGTGATTAGAAAAAAAAATCGTGTCGAGTAATAAACTAAGTAAATTCACACTATCTCTTCCTGATATTGGTGTATATTGTTTCCGGTGAATCAATGGTGTTGTGATTTTAATTCGTCGATGCATGAATGGAGGACATCCTTACTCGGAGATGCTTCGAAGCGCATGTTTGTTTACTGTATTCAACAACCACACCCGAACTCCTTCTTTTCGTCACTTTTAGATGCTTTTTTATACATGTTGCACACGTATGAAAAAATGTATATCCTCACGTACGCGTACTGTAAACATGGTATTGTATTCGTTGATCACACGTATAAGGTTGTCATCACATGTCTAAATTTAGAAATACAAATCAGAAACAAATCTCTTAACAAAACATTTTAAAATAATTGTACATTTATTTACTCAGAGATATATATGAGATTCCATCAATTCATATTTGATGGTTACATGGAAATGCACATTTGTTCATGATTTAAATGTTAGAAAACCTGTTGCATATATTGCGTAGCGTTATTATATCATGTGCAACATACACAAGGTTGTGTATTGCCTAAAATGCATGACATAGTAATATCTAGCACATATTATGTATAGAAATTTTGCGTCCTCAGTATGGCTTTTAGATGTCCTTTTCGTTAAAATATCACAATGAGTTTCGTTGTAAACGTAAATTGTTTGTCTTTGAACTGTTATTCGTAAATTTCTTTTTTGTACGTTACCGTTTGTTATGTTGCTAAAACACTGTAATGTGTGAAGCGCTTAGTAGTATAGGTCTAGCATTGATTTAGTTGTACCATATCAAAATATTCCCCAAACATATTTGATGGTTACATGGATATGGCATATCAAAGTATGTATCATGTCATTTTTCAGTAGGCCTAATTCAGTTTACTTTTCCCTGTATAGCAGACACATATACCAGCCTTTCCCGTTTATGGATTATATTGATCAAAAATGATTCTTTACTCAAAGTGTCAGTGATTCAAAGACAGCAGCCCCCTATTGACCAACATATTTCTATCTATACTGAGGGGATTTAATGTTCGTCACCATGTTATTCTTTCCTGCAGTGTAGTTTGAGTGTCTGGCATAGTGAAATATGCTTGCATGTGCAATAGATCGATGGTGGCCTACACATTCTATTTAATTTAACATCACGACGGGTTCCATATAAAATACATTTCCGATTTATATTTGGTTTGAGTTTATGGTGTGTTCTTCCTGGTTTTTTTTCTGGTGGATTTTGTTTTGGTTACTGTTAAGTTTTTGTCGACCTTCATCTCCGATTTCGTCTTTGTGTGCTAAGGCTATTTTTGTTTATTTTTCACATCTGACATCCAATTTACTTTAACGTCATTTTGCGACTTTTATAAAAACAAATATTACGCTGAAGTTTGTACATCAGATCACAGTTTTATTAGACTTACTCTAGCTTCATATTTTGGTTGGATTTCTATGTCTCTCTCGTAAAACGGAGCAGAGCAGTATCCACCCCTCCCAACAACCCAGATACGCTGATGTTACTCCGTACCAATACATCTAAAATACTATTAACTGTCGTATGCATAGTGTACATTTGTAACTATAAAAAAGTAAGCACCATATCCTTATTGATCCTGTGATATGGACCATGTCGCTCGGCGTATCATTTCTTTCATATAGTAGATGTGAGTAAAATATCAAGGTACACATGCCGTGAAAGTCGTTCGTTAATTTGTAACAAAATGAAGCATGCACGCTTCTCTGTAAATCTTGTGCTATTGTACCAACCGCCAATCATAGAAATACATTTTAAAATAAATGTGATACCAATACACTTTTCAGACTTATCAAGACATGCAAGAAGAGTTCCACGATTTTCGTATACAAGACATCGGCGTTAGTTTATGGTCAATAGACCACAATGCAATGTCATGTTTCCAATGCTGCCACCGGAAGTTGTGTCTAAATAAGCACACAGTCACAATAGCATGTGTTGAAGCACACCCTTCCCTTTAAAGGAAATATTTTATAAATAATATATAATACAGTACAATATATATGCAATTATAATTTATTCAATTTATACATATTGTATCACAATTAAACAAATATGCAAACATGTTTTAAATACCTTTACGGTAATTTACATAATGACAAATGCAATTACTGTATGAATTTCTTGAACTTCTGCATGTGCATGTACATTAAATTTTGTATCACATGTTGAATCTACTTTTGAGACCTTAGATATATGCGCTCTTTATTAAACACATTATCCTTCCCTATAACTTTTATGCAACTACGCGACAATTCCGCACCCATAATGATGATAACAAAACTAATTTCAGTTTTATGTTTTCATTTCAAAAGCTATGGTAATTGTCTGATAAAACAAGTATCTGTCTTTTTCTAGAACTTCATTTTAAATGCATTTGCTTGTATATCTGCGTATCGTAAGGTGTGCCGCATTAATGACGCTCAGAACCAGAAACATAACGGCATACTGCTTTCAATCGATCATGTTGTACAATAACTAAACATCGATTTTCTAAAAAAAAAAAAAATCGAGTTTTTAAATAAATCAAATGAAGCACAAACTCACTGGCATTACACATGTATTACGTAAGTTTATTGTGCGTTATAATTTGGTATGCGACTATTGCACTTTGAACACCAAGCTAGATTGTCTTTGACGATGCTAGATACATGTAGAATGGTCTCGTTTCACCAAATGTTATGTCATCACCTACTGTTAATAGTTATGTTAATTTTAAATTTACCTAAATACCTTTTGTGTTTCTGTTATAAACGTGCAATACCAGTTTTAATATTTTGTTATGCGTAAATTCATTAACCTTCCATTTTTATTCGTTTGATTATGCATCGTATTAACATTGTAACACTGTTTATTTAATTTCATGACATTTTATCTGAAGTAGAATAAAACTATATATGACGTACTGGGTTTACTGTGAACTAATTGTATAACATATTGACTGTAGGTGGCAATGAACCAAAGATAGAGATTTGGTTCCTGGACAGAGCACTGAGGTGGCACTACCTCACCGACTCCTTTATAGCCTACTACCGATTGATGCTGATGCATTTAGGACTGCCCCAGTGGCAATATGCACTCACGGATATTGGACTTAGCCAACAAACACAGGTAGGTTATGGCTACTAGTCAACAACCAAATAGATAAAAGCTACTAGCCCACAAACACAGATAGGTTATGGCTTCTAGTCAACAAATGCATGTAGGTTATGGCTACTAGTCAACAAATAAGTAGGTAAAAGCTACAAGCCAACAAACACAGATAGGTTATGGCTTCTAGCCAACACACACAGGTAGGCAATGGCTACTAGTCAACAAACACAGGTAGGTTATGGCTACCAGTCAACAACCAAGTAGGTAAAAGCTACTAGCCAACAAACACAGATAGGTTATGGCTTCTAGCTAACAAACACAGGTATGCTATGGCTTCTAGTCAACAAACACAGGTAGGCTATGGCATCTAGTCAACAAATACAGGTAGGTTATGGCTACTAGTCAACGAACACAGGTAGGTTATGGCTACTAGTCAACAACCAAATAGGTAAAAAGCTACTAGCCAGCAAACACAGAAAGGTTAAAGCTATTAGTCAACAATCACAGGTAGGTTAATGGCTTATAGTCAACAAACAAGTAGATAGAAGCTACTAGTCAACAAACAAGTAGGTCAATGCTACTAGTTAACAAACACAGGTATGTGAAGCTACTATTCAACAAACACAGGTAGGTTATGACGATCAATCAACAAACAAGTAGGTTAAGGCTACTAGTCAACTAACACAGGTATATAAAAGCTATCAGTCAACAAACAAGTAGGTTAATGCTAATAGTTAACAAACACGGGTAGGTGAACAACAAACACATGAAGGTTATGGCTACTAGTCAACAAGGAAGTAGGTTAATGCTACTAGTCAACAAACACATGAAGGTTAATGCTACTAGTTAACAAACACAGGTATGTGAAGCTACTAGTCAACACACACAGGTAGGTTATGACGATCAATCAACAAACAAGTAGGTTAAGGCTACTAGTCAACTAACACAGGTATGTAAAAGCTATTAGTCAACAAACACAGATGGGTAAAAGCTGTTAGTCAACAAACACAGGAAGGTAAAAGCTACTAATCAACAGACACAGATAGGTAAAAGCTGTTAGTCAACAAACACAGGAAGGAAAAAGCTACTAATCAACAGACACAGATAGGTAAAAGCTATTAGTCAACAAACACAGGTAGGTAAATGCAACTAGTCAACACACACATATAGGCTATGGCTTATAGTCAACAAGCAAGTAGATAGAAGCTACTAGTCAACAAACAAGTAGGTCAATGCTACTAGTTAACAAACACAGGTATGTGAAGCTACTAGTCAACAATCACAGGTAGGTTATGGCGATCGGTCAACAATCAAATGGGTTAAGGCTACTAGTCAACAAACACAGGTAGGTAAAAACTACTAATCAACAATCACGGGTAGGTGAAGCTACTAGTCAACAAACACATGAAGGTTATGGCTACTAGTAAACAAGGCAGTAGGTTAATGCTACTAGTCAACAATCAAATGAAGGTTAATGCTGCTAGTAAACAACCACAGGTTAGACAATTCTACTAGTTAACAAACACAGGCATGTGAAGCTACTAGTCAACAATCACAGGTAGGTTATGGCGATCGGTCAACAATCAAATAAGTAAAAGCTACTAGTCAACAAACACAGGTAGGTTATGGCGATCGGTCAACAATCAAATAGGTTAAGGCTACTAGTCAACTAACACCGGTAGGTAAAAGCTACTAGTCAACAGACACAGATAGATAAAAGCTGTTAGTCAAAAAACCCAGGTAGGTTATGGCGATCGGTCAACAATCAAATAGGTTAAGGCTACTAGTCAACAAACACATGTAGGTAAAATCTACAAGTCAACAAACACAGATAGGTTATGGCTTCTAGTCAACAGACACATATAGGTTATGTCTACTTAAGTCAACAAAAAAGTAGATAAAAGTGACTAATCAACAAACACCGGTAGGTTAAAGCTATTAGTCAACAAACACAGGTAGGTAAATGCAACTAGTCAACACACACATATAGGCTATGGCTTATAGTCAACAAGCAAGTAGATAGAAGCTACTAGTCAACAAACAAGTAGGTCAATGCTACTAGTTAACAAACACAGGTATGTGAAGCTATTATTCAACAAACACAGGTAGGTTATGACGATCAATCAACAAACAAGTAGGTTAAGGCTACTAGTCAACTAACACAGGTATATAAAAGCTATTAGTCAACAAAAACAGGTTGGTAAAAGCTATCAATCAACAAACAAGTAGGTTAATGCTAATAGTAAACAAACACGGGTAGGTGAACAACAAACACATGAAGGTTATGGCTACTAGTCAACAAGGAAGTAGGTTAATGCTACTAGTCAACAATCACATGAAGGTTAATGTTGCTAGTTAACAAACACATGTTGGTAAATGCTACTAGTTAACAAACACAGGTATATGAAGCTACTAGTCAACACACACAGGTAGGTTATGACGATCAATCAACAAACAAATAGGTTAAGGCTACTAGTCAGCTTCCACAGGTATATAAAAGCTATTAGTCAACAAAAACAGGTTGGTAAAAGCTATCAATCAACAAACAAGTAGGTTAATGCTAATAGTTAACAAACACGGGTAGGTGAACAACAAACACATGAAGGTTATGGCTACTAGTCAACAAGGAAGTATGTTAATGCTACTAGTTAACAAACACAGGTATGTGAAGCTACTAGTCAACACACACAGGTAGGTTATGACGATCAATCAACAAAAAAATAGGTTAAGGCTACTAGTCAACTAACACAGGTATGTAAAAGCTATTAGTCAACAAACACAGATGGGTAAAAGCTGTTAGTCAACAAACACAGGTAGGTAAAAGCTACTAGTCAACAGACAGATAGGTAAAAGCTGTTAGTCAACAAACCCAGGTAGGTTATGGCGATCAGTCAACAATCAAATAGGTTAAGGCTACTAATCAACAAACACCGGTAGGTTAAAGCTATTAGACAACAATCACAGGTAGGTTTATGCAACTAGTCAACACACACATGTAGGTAAAATCTACGAGTCAACAAACACAGATGGGTAAAAGCTGTTAGTCGACAAACATAGGTAGGTTATGGCGATCGGTCAACAATCAAATAGGTTACAGGTAGGTTATGACGATCAATCAACGAACAAATAGGTTAAGGCTTCTAGTCAACTAACACCGGAAGGAAAAAGCTACTAGTCAAAAGACACAGATAGGTAAAGGCTGTTAGTCAACAATCACAGGTAGGTTTATGCAACTAGTCAACACACACATGTAGGTAAAATCTACGAGTCAACAAACACAGATACAAACACAGGTATGTGAAGCTACTATTCAACAAACACAGGTAGGTTAAAGCTATTAGTCAACAATCACAGGTAGGTTAATGCAACTAGTCAACACACACAGGTAGGTTAAGACGATCAATCAACAAACAAGTCGGCTACTTGTCAACTAACACAGGCATGTAAAAGCTATTAGTCAACAAAAACAGGTTGGTAAAAGCGAGCAGTCAACAAACAAGTAGATCAACGCTACTAGTTAACAAACACGGGTAGGTGAAGCTACCAGTCAACAAACAAGTAGATAGAACCTACTAGTCAACAAACAAGTAGGGCAATGCTACTAGTGAACAAACACAGGGATGTGAAGCTACTATTCAACAGACACAGGTAGGTAAAAACTACTAATCAACAATCATGGGTAGTCAACAAACACATGAAGATTATGGCTACTAGTCAACAGGGAAGTAGGTTAATGCTACTAGTAAACAAACACAGGTAGGTTATGACGATCAAGCAACAAACAAGTAGGCTACTTGTCAACTAACACAGGTATGTAAAAGCTAATAGTCAACAAACACAGATGGGTAAAAGCTACTAGTCAGCAAACACAGGTAGGTTAAAGCTATTAGTCAACAAACACAGATACAAACACAGGTATGTGAAGCAACTAGTCAACAATCACAGGTAGGTTTATGCAACTAGTCAACACACACATGTAGGTAAAATCTACGAGTCAACAAACACAGATGGGTAAAAGCTGTTAGTCGACAAACATAGGTAGGTTATGGCGATCGGTCAACAAACAAATAGGTTAAGGCTACTAGACTACAAACACAGGTAGTTAAAATCTACAAGTCAACAAGTACAGATAGGTTAAATCAACCAGTCAACAAACGCAGTTAGGTAAAAGCTACTAGCCAACAAACGCAGATAGGTAAAAGCTGTTAATCAACAAACACAGGTAGGAAAAAGCTACTAGTCAACAGACACAGATTGATAAAAGCTGTTAGTCAACAAACCCTGGTAGGTTATGGCGATCGGTCAACAAACAAATAGGTTAAGGCTTCTAGTCAACTAACACCGGGAGGTAAAAGCTACTAGCCAACAAACGCAGATAGGTAAAAGCTACTAGCCAACAAACGCAGATAGGTAAAAGCTACTAGCCAACAAACGCAGATAGGTAAAAGCTACTAGCCAACAAACACAGATAGGTAAAAGCTACTAGCCAACAAACGCAGATAGGTAAAAGCTACTAGCCAACAAACGCAGATAGGTAAAAGCTGTTAGACAACAAACCCAGGCAGGTTAAGGCGATCAGTCAACAATCAAAATCAACAGACACAGATAGGTAAAAGCTGTTAGACAACAAACCCAGGCAGGTTAAGGCGATCAGTCAACAATCAAAATCAACAGACACAGATAGGTAAAGGCTGTTAGTCAACAATCACAGGTAGGTTTATGCAACTAGTCAACACACACATGTAGGTAAAATCTACAAGGCAAAAAACATAGATGGGTAAAAGCTACTAGTCAGCAAACACAGGTAGGTTATGGCGATCAGTCAACAATCAAAATCAACAGACACAGATAGGTAAAGGCTGTTAGTCAACAATCACAGGTAGGTTAATGCAACTAGTCAACACACACATGTAGGTAAAATCTACAAGTCAACAAACAAAGATAGGTTATGGCTTCGAGTCAACAGACACATATAGGTTATAGCTACTTAAGTCAACAAAAAAGGAGATAAAAGTTAC